GGATCAGAGAGTCTCACACAGTCTGTCAGATGTTCTGTCAGTTTGTCTTCAGAGATGGTGGGATGAGCAGATCTGGAGTGTTGATAAGAACTATGTCTTTTCCTTTATTTGTCTCCTGACTTTCTCACATTGGTCTGCTTCTTTTCCAGTGTTGAACACAGTCTCTCATTATGACGTTCCCCACTGAACTCCTCTCAGACCATGAGTTCCCAGCAGAACAACCCTCAACTCAGACACTGTGAAAAGAAAAATGTAAACAGACTAACTGGCTATTTTTTTTAAATCCAGTTTTCTTTCTGTTTATACAGATGTGACCAAAACAGATATTCTTATACAAATGGATAGAAGTTTCACTCACTGTCAGGTGGCAACCCTTCAATACTGTTACAGCGCCTCAGGGGATGCGGATCATCTATGATTGAAACAAGTACATTTTGTCATAGGTGTGCACAGTCTTTCATGTCATTTTACACATAAATAAATTAGAAGTCTACGGAGCCTGGGAGGTGAAATGAACTAACACATTTTATAAAGCGTGCAAGTTATAACTTTAATAGCGGTAATTAAACAAACTAACTGGCGACAGTGGGATATGATGTATGATAACTATATAAACCTTATAAACGGAGACATCTGGTGGAAGTTGGCCGTGAGTCATCTCCACTGTCAGGACCGGACATGATGTAGGCCTAGTTTGTTGTAGAAACGCTTGGAGACAACGGTAGATGACTATCTTTTTCATCCAAAACAGCGGTAATAAGATTTAAGATTTACTTTTATTGATCCCCACAAGGGGAAATTTCAGTTTTTACACTCTGTAGTTCATGCAACACACACACAGGCTGAAATATACACACACATGCACAAACAGGATCCTATGGACATGCACTAATGGAGAGATGTCAGAGTGACGGAGCTGCCCACAGCAGGCGCTCCTGAGCTGGTGGTGGGGAGGGGGTTTGGTGCCTTGCTCAAGGGCACCTCGGCAGTGTTCAGGAGGTGATCTGGCACCTCTCCAGCTACCAGACCAACTTCCATATTTGGTCCACAATGGGACTTGAACCGGCGACCCTCCGGTTCCCAACCCAAGTCCCTACAGACTGAGCGCTAAGCGTCTGCTAAGTGAATTGTAACATTGTAAATAAACCCACACAACTATCAAACATTCACATTCAGCTGGAAGTCCACAGCTAAAATGTCTTTCTATTTAAAGGTAAGTCTGTGTGTGTGTGCCTACATGTGTGTGTATTATTTATTGTTAGTCACTGCCTTTTTTTACTTGATTTGTTTACCTCCGTGCTCTGAGCTTATGATGGTGAAATGTTCCTGTTTAATTATAATTCTTCATGTTCTGACAATAAAGAATAATTAAACCATAATTAACCATCTGGTTTCTTCATCTTTCACTCAGGAACAAAAATCAGCTTTTAAATGTATTATTATTTATATATCGACTGATATGAAATTTTCATCTACCTGCCACCTTGGCCGGTGAGTCAAAAAGTTAATTTCGGACCCTGCCTGCACACCCTCTTGGTCCCCCGTTCTGCCTCCTCCATGCTCCTCACCACACCTCCTTTCCGCCTATCATCAATGGGATCTCGAGCATTTAGCCGTACGGCCCCCCGTCTCTGGAACTCTCTCTCTCACAAACCATCCATGACATTAACTATCTCCCCACCTTCAGATCACAGCTCACAGCTGCTGTTTTTGTGTTTTTGTTTTTAAGTAGTTGATAGTGTTCGTGTTTTTTACTCTACTGCTGTGTCTGTAAGGTGACCTTGAGTGACATGAAAGGCACCCTTAAATAAAATGCAATATTATTATTATTATTATTATTATTATTATAGGTGAAAAAGTTTTGAACATGTTTTTAGATTTCTTTGTTTAAGGTCAAGATTTGGCCTGACGTGATAATCGCTTGTTTTTATTATTAAAGCTAAAAATGCCTCTCCTTTTTAAGGCAGAGCCTCTGTAGGGTGACAGTTGGCTTTAAAAAGAAGTGGAGACGAGAAGTGGGAGGATTTTATACTTTTACAGGGTTTGTCCTGGCTCAGTATTACCTTATTTGACAGAAATCTGTGCATTTCCTGTTATTTCTGACCATTTTATAAATAATATTATCATTATGCTTAAGTTACTGAAACCCAATTCAATCTGGTAAAGATTTTTTTTAATTGCAACAATGAAACATGGGAGGAGAGGGATTTTGAGGGAGAGGGGTGTAATGAGATTGGGAGAGGCGAGGTCACATCCTGCCAAAAGTACATTTATTTGAATTACTAAGGTATTATGTCAAATAATCACAGATTTAAGTCACAGATAATTTGGATCATTTGATCAGATCAGGAAATTGAGAAATAATAAAAATATATTTGCTGGCTCTAACGCAGCGCTGGTTGACAGTCTGTGTGGAGAAGTTCACAGACTACAGCTGGCTGACGTTACAGTCGTTAAGATATTGATTGTTGATAAAAGCAGACACGTTGGAATTGAACAGAGAAAAGTTGAACGTGCGTTCCCGACTCGGTCCATACGGATAGCGGATCAACCGGGTTCCGTTTCACTACAAGTCAACAGGTGTGTGCGGTGGTTGGTGTTCCGGTGTGTGTGTGCGCGTTTGCAGCCATGTATGTTGGTGTGTCTCGTCTCGGCGTGCCCCCCGATGACCCGTCTGCAGACAGCAGAGGAGCAGGGACAAGTAGCCGCAGCTATACGTCATACGCGGTTTAGTATAGTTTTAACATGACTGTTGGGATAAATATTTACCGCCATGAAGAGCATTGCTCTTTGAAATTAACTCCAAACGGAAAATCAACCGAATTTAGCGCTTGTGGGTGTCAGCGGAGCGGACGGAACCAATCAAAAGAAACGAACAGTCAATCAGCTGGCTATCCAGCGCGAGCCACATGCGTAAACGGATGAGAGGGGAGATGACTGCTAGAAGTCAGAGACGTCGTATTTAAGTTTATGTTCTGCTTGTTCAACAGTCGTTTGATGTATTGATACTTTTAACATTCAGGGAGGATTTGATTTGCAATTTTCATCGTCTTTTTTTTCTTTTGGCGCTCTGGATTTTCCTTTGGCGCTGGGTAAAACCTCTTTGGGGGGCGCCAAAGAATTGTTTATGCAGGAAAAACCCTGTTTTATGCTTCTTACCCAAAATAACTTTGTATCAGTTTTTGTTTGTGTGTTTTCCCTCTTTAATAATTCACTTTGAGAACACACAGAGATGAGTTTGAACACATACTGGAGTTCATGTATTTTGAACACAGTTAGGTGGTCCAACGGCACAAGGTAAGAAATAGCCCAATAACAGAAATAGAGCAAAATATTGAATGATGGAGGATTAAAAATATCAAATTAAAATGCACAAGGTAAGCTAAAACTATGATGACAAATAAAAGTTAAACTTTATTCAGAGATTTCAGACAATAGTGCCGTACAGTCTGAGAGTGAAATGATCACTTTATGAAGGAGTGCAGGAAAACTTCCTGTTGTGAAATATGTCAACAGAATGAAACATGAAAAATAGGCCTATTATATATATTAGGATGTCAAACCATCGTGAAGAGAGTTACTTAAGAGAAAGAGAAACTTACAAATACTAACTATGTCTGCCTTACATATATGCAAACATTGCTTTCATTATTTATTGACATTAATCTCTTTTAGTTTTGGAATGCAGGTAGACATAGAAACTTATTTTGTCCTAAAATATGAAAGAAGGCTAATTGCACTTATATGCTGCACTGTGATATTTTAAGAGGGAATTTTGAATGTGATATGTTTTTCTGAGAAGAAAGCCTTTACTACAGACTCAATCACCATTATATTTCTCTGCATTTAATTCACTATAGGGCTGCACGATATATTGTTACAGCATCGTCATCGCGATGTGAAGAAAAAATACATATCCATCTGGAGCCGAAAAATATATTTGAGCCTTTCAATTAAGTTTATGTAGCCTGTCTAAGCCCAGTCACATTACTATTATATCTAAATGAGCATACATTTCTATATTTTACCACATTACATGCAACACCTCGCATAGTTAGAGCACCTTGCTCTGTCATCTAACCTGCTCAGGGTCGGGCAGAGTGAGAGGGAGCGGTGATGTGAGCGGAGAGGAGCAGGGACTTTGACAATCTGACAGTTTGATAACTATGTGCTAACGCAAGGGAGAGTGGTTGGCCAAACAGCAGTTGATTTTGGTTTCATGCTGTGCTCAAGGACGACATCTACTGGATCAAAAAAGGTGCACATTCATCCTTTATAAAGTTAAGGACATACACCAGACCCCTCTGTGTTTAGAATGATATATTGTATGTAGTGATGCATAAAATATATCTGCTCAAGAAAATAAGAAGTGTTAAGGCTGTTACTATTTCTTAAATCCAAGACTCACTGACCTGCTTAAATGTCTCAATATCTCTTTTGGAGTCTTTAAACATGTAGACAGAGGATAAAACAGAGTCTGACTGGACTCACCTGCTGCTGCAGTCGCCATGATGTCATCAGGGATTAATTCCAATGGAAAGAACAGCTCTGTTTGAGAACCTAGAGAAAGGATTTTAAATATTTAAAAGGGTAACATGTACAGTAGCACATTACTCATTAGTAAAGAAATCAATGAGTGCAGACATCATTCATAGCAATTCCTGTAATATCACTGAATTCATATACTTGTAAAGTAGTTTAGCTCAAGTGATTAGGAAGGTGGTAGGAAGGCATTTCAGCAGACTTCATTTAAGTTAATAAAAACAAAAGTTCAAAGGAAAAAAGGTAAATTACCTCAAAACTAAATCAAACTAAGGCATAGGGCTGGACGATATGGACCAAAACTCATATCTTGATATTGTTTAGCTGAATGGCGATACTCGATATATATCAATATGTATTTTATTAACAATGACAACACATGAAAAAATAAACTATCTGTTTGTGAATTAAAAAATTAATATTATAAAATAAAAATGTTCCTTAAATACAATAAAAGAGAGAGAGAGGAGGAGCAGGGTTCAGAGAGACAGTCAGTCATCATAAGTGAGATGAGAAAAAGGTGACATAACTCAAGATAAACACTACAGTCGGTTTGCCCCAATGATGTCAGTGATAACATCATCAATCTCATAAATACCCAGGAAGTGCTGAACCAGCCCCTTTAGCTGCAGGACCACATGGGGAACTGAACAAAAGAATAAATAAAGGTAAGTATCCGATAAAGAGAATCAATCAATCAATCAATCAATTTTTATTTGTATAGCGTCAACTCATAACAAGTGTTATCTCGAGACACTTTACAAAAAGCAGGTAAAATACCTTACTTATTGCTATGGAACAACAATTATATTGCGCAAATCCTGAAACTAAATAAAAATTGACTGAACTAAATCAAAGCTGTGTGTTTGCTTTTACTTACTTTGTACTTTGGTATGAACTGTAACATAATGCTTACACAAACAAACCCAGGACAGTAAGTGCTGCAATGTTACACAAGCAAAGGTCAATTATTGCAAAATGAACAACTTTAAAGAATTATGTGATTTGATATGAATGAAGATTTGAGTGACAAGTGGGAAAAAGTGAAGAGTCTCACAGTCTCTGCTTAGTTCTCGCTTAGTTCTGGGCATGAATTACATTAAGCTTATAGAAATAGCTGAATATTCACGCTGATTGTTATGAAGATTGCATATCCTTTCATGCATTTCTACTTGTTCTTTTATATTACTCTTATATGCCTTAGTCTATCTGTCGCGCCTACTGTGCATTGCTGTTGGCCAGTCAGCTGTCCCTTAGTTCTGTAAACGATTCAAGTTATTTAGCTCTCCATCGTTTGGACAGTTAGAACATGTCTGTGTTCATAGAGTTTGTAGGTTTTCTTTTCATTTCATATAGGAGTGGACATTTGAAATGAAAGCTTATACTCATTAGCCAGGATAGTTCCGATTGTATGAGCAAATGCAAAGTACAGCGAATGATTACAGGTGAGAAGCAACAACTGTATGTAATGTGTGGCAATGGTGTACTGATATAAAATGTTAATTTCTCAGGTATTCAGAGGGACTAGTAAAGAGGCGCTCCTCAAGTGTACCTTTAATAAACATTAGCATGCAGGTGTGACTGTAACTTCAATAGTGCTGCCCAGTATCTATTCATCTTCTGTATTTATGTTCATATAAATACATGAAGGAAGTTATTTTTATGAGAACTGATATTTACAGTATTTTTTGCCATCGCGATGTTAGGTCAGTAAAGAATACAGTGTCTCATGTTCATATCAGTTATGTTGGTTATCTCTGTACATTGGAGTAAGGTGGCAGTGTTGTGTTTAATAACTCGCATATAATGGTTTTTTCATTATGTCCTTTATTTTTATGATTACGGAAAACCACACACAAATATTTTCCTGTCTGAATAATAAATGCAGCACAGAGTGTGAATCTGAAGATTAATCCATCTCAGGTGTATTTTTTACTCAGAATTGACAATAAAATTTATATAATCTTAGTAAAACGTTATCTGATAACATTTAAACTATACAGGTAACATTAGGCTACTTGTTCATTTTTGAGTATCTAGTTTTCTGGTAACTCACCTGATGAATTTCTTGCTGTGACACAAAAAATAATTTAAAGTGAAACGAGAGTGGAGTTGAGGGTGGAACATGAGCTCGTGATTATTTGTATAATGTAATTGGTTAAAAATGTGTCAGTCAGAGTAACTAAACTGGGACTCTGTTCTTATTGGCTGTGTCAGTTATGTCGACTACCGATTGGCTATGGAAAACAAGTCCCACCCCTTCCTGGTAACTGGTTTTATTAAAGTGCAAGATCTGAGCACTTTATCTTAGTCTAACACACTGATGAACTGAATCTGTTTGTGAGGGGGAATCAAGATCAACTCTTCAGTTCCCTTAACTTGAAGAAAAGTACAACACTTATGGGATCTTATATAGTGGCTGAAAGCACACGTATAACTCCAGCAAGACATTTAGTTATAGTGATAACTCTGGACACCATGGGCCACCATTTATGCCACATGGGAAGAATTCACATCACAGAGACTAAATATCTTCATCCACAGCCATGAAGTTACAAAGACTCAGAAGAGAAATAAACACTTTAAGAATACATTAAGAATAAAGGGTGTCATTGCCCAAAGAGACCACACGAGGGTATCAGCGCTCATCTTTGTCAAGTACTGATTTGTTTGTTGTCTCTGACATACTCCATCTGTTGTTTGTTTGTAAATGTATACATGGTCTGGGTGGACTCTGGAACCGAATTGCCCTCAGGGATAAATAACGTTTCTAAGTCTAAGACCTTTTGGCTGTAGTTCAATCCAATACTTTCTGACATCAACATTTCAATTCTATCCGAAAATAATCTGAAGTCATTAGATTGAAGATAAGTTTGTCAGATTCAGAGTCTTTATCAGTCACTGTGTTGTGTGAGTGAACAGAATGCTGTTCGACTAGTTTAGGTCAGATGCTTTGAACTTGATAACACCCCACAAGAGGAAACAAATTACATTTTCAGCACTGACAGAAACTATCTCACCTCATTTTTGATAACCTTAACAGCATAAATAATTACTGAAACCCTAACAGGGCGCCTCGTTTCAGACCTGATCACACACAATACTTTACATTATTCACATGCTTGTTGGATGTCTTGGAAGTCAAATCACTCATGTCGCAAAAAGAGCTGGAGAAAATCATCCACGCTTTTATTTCCTCCAGCCTTGAAGACTGTAATTCATTATACACCTGACTCAGTAAAAAAATAAATCAAACACATTCAAACAATCCAAAACGCAGCAGCCCGGCTTTAACAAGAAAAAACAAATGTGCCCATATCACTCCAATCTTAACATCCCTTCACTGATTTTAAGATTATTTTAATTAATTTCAAACCACAACATGGGCTGGCTCCTACATATATTTTAGAGCTTTTAACCCCTTATGAACCAGGACGCAGTCTGAGATCCTCTGGCAGTTCTCCACTGGCTGTTCCAGGGTCCAGGCTGAAAACTAAAGCGGACATGGCTTTTGCTGTCACAGCCCCCCAGACAGTGGAACAGCCTGCCAGAGATCAGACTTGCAGAGTCTGTCCCTTGTTTTACTTCTGTACTTCAGACATTCTTTTTCATTTTAATATTTTATTCTATCAGTATGCTTTTATTGTCCGTTTGTTTTACTGCCTGTTTGCCTTTATATTTTGGAACATCATGCTGTTTAATGTCATCTCTGTCAACAGTACAAGCGATCTAACATTGCTTTTATGATTTGATAATATTTCTATATATCTAGTTTGGTCGAGTTTACTCACCTGGTGAATTTCTTGTTGTGAAAAAATCAGCAGTAAAAGTTCAAGTGAAGCAGCCACGGCACATCTGACTAAAACATAGTTTAATAAAGATTAACATGTTACAGCGTGTTTGTCGAGTTCAAGGACAACCTGGATTTGCCTGAGACTTTTTCTCACAATGAGGAATAACAGGTTGTATCAAATGTAAGAATTTAGCACTTCCTCATATTTTAAATCACAGATAAACCACCTTTGTTTGTAAGGGATCAAGAGACTCAAGATGAACTCTCCAGTTCCCCCTGCTGGCGGAAAAGTATAGTTCTCTAAACACGGGACTACAAGGAGGTTGGTTGGAATCATTAGAAGAAAGTTATTTTGAATGATAAATATTCATCTCCAAATATGTTTTTCATTTCAGTGATAGCTGAGGAAACACTGAAAACAGTCACTATGTATAATATTTTGAAGTAACTCATTAAAACACTTGTTTGGTTATTAATAAAAGCCTTTTGGTAGTTTATTGGAACTTATAGAATTAGTAAATTATTAACCTTTTTCTTTCTAAAAAAATATAATAAATCAAGTAAGTATGATGAATGATTTTAAATAACAGAGCAGTAAACAACAGGTCTCACTAGAAAAAGGATGAGGTTTAAAACATAGAGATTGGATGGAAACTGGGAGCATCTGGTGGAGAGATCAAGAACAGCAAGCAACCTTTAGAAGTGTAAATGTGACTGGTGAATAAAGTCAGAGATACTGACTGTGACAGAGGCAAACAAGGGAACTATCAACAAGTGCTACCCTGAAGATTTACTCTTTTTGTGATATTTAAGAGGTCTGTTTTGAGTTGTCATACTGTATACTTGTACTGTATATTACAGATATATAATGTACAGAGGTCAATGGGCACTTTGTAGGAAACCATAAAAAAAAATCCTGTAGTTGTTGCTCTAAACTAAGAGACTTTTTGGTGAACATTGAGTAACAAAGTGCAAATGAAGCTATGGATATAATAAATCAAAAGTGTATCTTAAAAACACAATTTTAACTGTTAAATAGAAAATAATAAATGACTTAAATAATTGCAGGAAAGTAAAGAATTGTTTAACCATTAGAGACGCTCATTTTAAATGTCCAAATATGTGATGTTTGGATTTGGTTAACTTCTGAAGGGTTGTCTTTTTTAATGCATGACTGTTAGTACAGTAGGAGTGGGTGTTACGATGCACTGTAACTTCATTGTGTGAGAGATGACAATAGACTTACCTGACAGTCTACCTACGTAGGCAAAGAAAAATATTGATCTACTTACCCATTAGTAGCCCAGAGTCTAACCCTGTTAGAGATCAAGAGATGGTCTTCAAATCTTGGGCATTCCAAGTCTTCCAGAGCAATAGCATGATTTACCTGCATGTGGTTTGTCTATGACGACGAGGTGATGTTGCTTCTACTGTGGTCAAATATAGTAAATATGTAGACCTTGTCAGAAAGTTACGAAGCCAGGTTTAACCTACGATCAAAAGAATATGAAGAATAAGTGATAAGAGGAATGGGAAAAACGTAAATATGAGTATGAAAGTATGAATTACATAAACACTGAGGTGAGAAGAAATATTCAACTGTAGCTCCTTTAACAGAAATGAAAAAAAATATCTGGAGAAAAAGCCAGTTTAAATAGACAGTGCGCCCTCTTGTGGCAGCGCAGGCACTTTACGTGATCATACAACTTCAAGATTTGGTGAAGCAACAGGTCAATCACTTACTGAAGTCTGTTGTTTTTTAAATACACAATATGAATCAAATGTTGTCTGTGAAGTCATAATTTATCATATTTAACTCATCTGATGAATAGTTTACATGATTTTGTTTTTCATTATAAACGGTGGTATTATAAAGGAGAGATAACCTGGTGTCTGAGATGTAAACAAAAAAAATGGCAGACAGCAAAGGGCTCTTTATAACAAAACTATGCAGAGAAAAACAGATTTAAGAAAGCATTGATATTATCTACAGACTCAATATGTCAGCTAACATTGAGCAAAGCGTATGGTACTCTGATATATAATGCTTTTAGTACCAAATAATAAAAAAGGACATACAAAAGATAATTGTGAGACATTAAATGTTTCTTATCAAATTCACGATACATCACAATAATGTTTGTTATCAGATAAGGTTTAGTAGAGAATACATTTGCCTAGTTTCTCTAGTCCTGAAGGTTAAACTGAAGTTAATTAAATAAAGTTATACAAGTTTGAAGGTATAAAACCACCTCAAAATAAAAAGAGAGCTGCTATACCAACCACCAGGAAAGTAGTACTAAATAAATTAATAAATAAAACAACTTACCAAACAGCACACACATTTTTCATCTTTCTTCCTCGGCCGTCTCTTTCTGCAAAAGTTATTCCTCCATGTAGTCTGGTTCATAAAGGTTTCCTTTAGTCTCCAACGTTATCGACACTTTGATGATCCTTCATGATTTGAGTTTCCTTCATTAATTGTCTTTTCTTAAAGCTGCCTAAGATGTCAGGTCGTTTACCTTAAAGTCTCTGTAGATGTGTTTCATGGTCTTCTTGTAGGACCCCTACCTGTTATATGAATCACTCATGAAACTGCTTTCCCCTTACAGTAGAGAACAGGTTTAGTGCTTATGGGGGTTGCCTCCGTTTACCGCAATTAGCATGTTTACACAGCGGTAATTCATTTTTGCGGTTATAGCGACAGCCCTCGTTACAACATATTTTTAATAGTAATTTTTACAAATTTTTAACTTTACTTCTTTGAAGGTTATTGTAAAGTTGAAGGCTTTCTGATTATATTCATTCTACAATTCCTATAAATTGTCAACCTACCTCCATCTGTTTTAGCCGGTCAGCGGCGCCATCTTGTGGAGCCCCTGCAGAGTTGATTCAGTCAACCCAGAATTTGAATCCAGTCTCCCGTTAACTGTCGATCTATAACAAATCTATTCACATTTACTTTTTGTAAAAGACTCAGTGATCATATCGATTGTGTTAAATATGATTAAGTTAAGCAGTATCTCACACGAGACATTCTGCTGCCGCTCGGATTTAAAACTCATCATGCCATCAATACAGACACGTTTCCAGAAGAAATTCTCCGGGATAACTCAGTCAGCCAAGACAACTCTGCACACAAAAATAACAAGGTAACCAGGAGGGGAAAGAGAAAGGGAGGAATCAGAGCCAGGCTTAAACGGGAGACATGTAAACAACGGACGCTTCCATCTATCATCCTGGCTAACGTACGCTCCCTCCGGCTTCAGCTTCAATCATCATCTCATTGGTGTAGCAGCTGCCTCCATTAGTTCTCACCATTTCTTCAATCTTAGTTATCAGCTCACTGACTTGAGTTTTGTCTGTGCAATCGCGGTTATCAAACACATGGTATCTTCCTCCACAGTCAGCAAGCAGTTCCTTAAAGGAATGAACACATCTCTTTTCAATGTATTCTTCAGTGGACATGTTCTTACGCTTTAATGAATCTCCTCCAGTTAGAAGAACGATGGTGAACTTGTCAGCATTCCTCCCAAAGCCTTCCTTGATGAGTTTTAATGTCTCCTTCTCCTCTGGTGTAAATCTGCAGATATTTAACACCAACAGGAAGACATGTGGTCCTGGAGCCAGAAGACTGATGCATTTAATCAGCTCTTCATAAACCTCTTCATGGGACAAGCTATTGTCAAACAAACCAGGAGTGTCGACCACAGTGACAGGACGTCCATCCACCTCGCAGTGTTCTTTCTGACAATGCTTGGTGACAGACTTTTGGCCTAGTTTAGACATAAATGTCTTTTTTCCCAGAATGGTGTTTCCTGAAGAGCTCTTCCCAGAGCCAGTCTTCCCTATCAGCACAATCCTGAGACCTTCTTGACTCAGCTTCTCATCATCACCACCTGGAAAATAAAAGGGTCTGGAGTTAATATGCTAACAAATTACACAGCATTAACCTAAGTATATTGTCAAAAATACAACAGTTTGTTCTAACCAAATCATTTGATTTGATAAAATTAATGGATGAACTTTATTAAACTAAAGCAACTCTTTCTTGTGCCTATGGCCAAATCCCAGCCACACTGACATTTAATACAACAGCACTCCCTCTCATGTGATATTGCTTATACAAGTAACTACTCACGTCTGGTTATCCTTGTTGTTTCCGCCTGTAGTGTGTCGACCCTTTCTTTTAGGGCGTGTCTCAATGTTTCTGTTGTGTAGCTGAGTAGTTTGTTTTTAATCCCAGGTTTATGTTTCTCTAGATTGTCAAACAGCTCTTGAATCTGCTGCTGATCATGGATGTTGAGAACAAAACTTCCTCTGCATCTCTGAATGAGATCCTGGATGTCTTTGTTTTTCTGTACAAAGTTGACAACTGCTGAAGCTGATGGATCTGACTCGACAGTGAACAGAACCATGGTGAAGTCATTGACTGCATAGCTGAATGTGCTTAGGAAGGTCTTAAACTCTTCCTTGTCTTCATCAGCAAGTGGACACACAGGTAGGACCAGGATGAAGGCATGGACACCCTCAGGATCACAGAGGGTGATGCATCTGAACGATTCCTCAATCACTTCTTCCAGAGGTTTTCCATACAAGGCAGGAAGCTCCACCAGGGAAACCCGACGTCCACACACCTCACCCTGATGTTTAACACACTCTGATGAGCTGGAGACTGAATGAAGATCTGTCTGACCTAAAATGGCCTCAGCTGCTGAAGTCTTCCCTGCTCCTCTCCTCCCAAACAGAACCAGGTTTAAAGCTGACTTGTTATGTTCAGACTTTGGTCTTATGGACTCTTCAGTGAAGGTGAGGAAGGCTCCTTTGTTTTCATGCACAATGTTTTCTATCTTCTCCATCATTAACAACTGGTTGTTTTCAGCTATGCTGTAGTGTCTCTCTCCACAGTCTTTAAGAAGACGGCTGAAAGAGATTCCTGCTCCTTCCACCTCATGTGTGCTGATGACCACTGAGTGTTTGAAAGCATCTTGACCAAACAAACTCAGGATGAACTTCAGAGTTTGTCTGTTCTCTTCAGTGAAATCAGAAGGTTTCACTAATAGAAGCAGGACATTTGGTCCTGGAGGACAGCACTCTGCACAGCTTCTCATTTCTTGTCTCACTGTTTCTATGGACAGATTGAAAATGTCTGGAGTTTTCACAACTGTTAACTGTTTCCCTTTCCACTCTCCATTGGCAACCTCACACTTATTGTTTGTAAAGAAATTTAGGTTATAAAACTGCCTTCTCCCAATAATGAAGTTTCCCAGTGTTGTTTTTTTGTCAGCACTTTTGCCAAACAACACAACACAGAGATTTGGCGCTGGAACAAAAAGAAATATGATTAAATATATTACCTTGCAATATTACATTCAGAATCTTTTCATCATATTCAGTGACTAATGCAGACATTTAATGCATTTTTGTACATTATGAATGATATATTTTGAATTTCATTTGTTTGCTTAAATGCATTAAAGGCAGAATGTGCAACATTTGACACGTAAATAAATAAAGCAGAAAACAAATATATTCTTTGTAAATGTCTCTTTGAGTCATGACTGTCTATGAGTGAGAAGCTCAAATCCTGCTGGCTGTGTTGTTGTTGGAGCCGTGTTTACATGGACGGGATGGCATTGTGTATAAAGCTGTTTAAGTCAAGGACTAGAGAAAGAAGAATAGCCTACTCACTGCTTATTTGGATGTCAATTAAGAGTGTTTAGATCACGGTCATTGGTGCAATGTGAAGCTACGAGCTAACCAAAGTGTGCTAACATTAGCCTGCTAACACAAAGATGCAGGGCACAGGCAACTGCAGCTTGAGCAGGGACAATGGTGCTTATTTATGGTGCCTTTTTATTGATAACTCCTTAGTGCGAACGTGAGTGGAGGGGGGTTGGAGATGTGTCTGGCTGGAGGAGCAGAGGATTCAGTGTGGCGCAGGTGTTGGCAAACATCAGTTTATTTTGGTTTAATGCTGGTGCTCATAGGCGACATCTACTGGATCAAAAAGTTGCACATTCTTCCTTTAAGCAGTGAGTGAATAAAGATTTACCAACAGGATCACTAAGGGCAAAGTCTGAGTTTCTATTCTGTCCATTTTATAAAAAAATACAAACTTGAAGGACTTACCTGGGCTTGAAGTGCTGATATCCATCCTTGTTGTCAACCCTGTACAAAAATACAAATCCCTCATTGGTTTTATCTACAATAAACAAACATTTTTATATCGTAGCTATTGTCTAAATATCCGTCACATGTCAGAATACTTACCAGCATTTGTTTGGTCCTTGAAAGGATTCAGGCTCAGATGCTCTCTGTTTTTTTTTTCAAAAAGTTGATCCAGACGTGTTTCCAGCTCTTGATGTTTAAGGTTCTCCTGCATCAAGTATCTGTTTCCACACAGTGTAATTATTTCTTGTAAGTGTGGATTGATCACATGATTGTAGCCTAAACTCTTCTCACTGGGTGTTGAGATCAGAACCAGTGAATGATCAAATGACTGACCACCAAAGTGTTGAAGGACTCTGCAGAGCCTCTGTTTGTGTTGCTCAGTGAAGTCTTCAGGCTGTAGAACCAGCAGGAATACATGAGGTCCAGGTGCAGAGAGTCTAGCACATTTTTCCAAATGTCTTTTCAGTTTATCATCCAAGATTTTGGAAAGCAGCAGATCAGGAGTGTTGATGACGGTTATTATTTTGTTCTCCCTCCACCGTCCTTTGACTGACTGAAAGTGTGGATCTTTGTCTGCCTTGAACACATTACAGCCCATCATTAAGTTTCCCACTAAATTCCGTTGAGACCAGCTGTTCCCCAGAAGGACAACCCTCATCTCAAAATCTGAAATGAAGATATGGAATTAAAACAGAAAATAATTACACGGGAAAAAAAAAAGAGTTAAAAAATAAGAATCAAATTGAGAGGATGGGATTTCCACAGGTGTTTAAGAATTAAAGCTTTCTGGCATCTCCTCATGCAAAGAAATTACAATAGCTTGCATTCAAATGGTAAATGGACTTACCGTATTTTCCGCACTATAAGGCGCACCGGATTATAAGGCGCACCTTCAATGAATGGCCTATTTTAGAACTGTTTTCATATATAGGGCGCATCGGATTATAAGGCGCATAGAATAGAAGATACTGCAGTCAAACGTTTGACTGGGGTTGCGTTATGCATCCACTGTATGGAGCTGTGCTAAAGGGAATGTCAACAAAACAGTCAGATAAAGTCAAACTTTATTAAGCGTTCTGACAACTCCGTTCACTCCCATGGTAACGATGTTCAAACGTTGATGTGCATATTCACAATATCTCCCAGCCTTGTTCAGTTGTAAACACGTAAAAGAAACACAGTCTGATACCGCTAATTCAAACGTTAGTGCATAACTCAACATTGTTCAGTTACGTATAACACGTAAAGCTCACTTTTTCAGTTCATTCCCCGTCCACGAATCCCTCGAATTCTTCTTCTTCAGTGTCCGAATTGAACAGTTGGGCGAGTACGGCATCCAACATGCCCGGCTCCCTCTCGTCATTATCCGAGTCAGTGTCGCTGAGCGCCGTGTACAACCAGTATGGATTAACCAATTGATCCATATATAAGGCGCTCCGGATTATAAGGCGCACTGTCGTTTTTTGAGAAAATTAAAGGCTTTTAAGTGCGCCTTATAGTGCGGAAAATACGGTAACTTGTATAACCATTTTTTAGTCTTCTGACTACTCAAAACAGTTTTACACAGTATGTCACACCTACACATTCACACACTGATGTAGTTAAACCATCAGCAGTAACTAATTCATTCATACACATTCATACACAAAGCAGCGGTAGCGATTTTAGTGTGTTGTCCAAGGACACATGGGACATGTAGCTGCAGGAGCTGGGGATCTAACCACCCACCGGTAGGAGACGATGACTCTACCAACTGAGCCACAGCCGTCCCCCAATTTAATTTAAGAAGAATTAACATTTTTTCTGCCTTTTAATATTTAATAATGTTTAGTCTCCATCTTGGCTTTTGATTTTTAAGTGTTTAAATATTGAACAGTAATCACAATCATCTACTTAAACTTAGAAATACATAAATATTTAAAGTAAATAAATTCAAGTTTATATATTTTAGTGATGTCCATCAGATGTGAGCTATATTTTTACTTCAATGGCTCCTCCTGGCAATCAGCCAATCACTAACTGGAAGACATCAATTATTAAATGTCAAGACTTCCTGGAACTATTATTAGACAGCTGAGAGGAACGAGCCATCCCAAGCAGTTAAGCTTCAACATTATTTCTGTTTATGTCACATTAAATGAAACTCAAATTTAAACCTTAAAAACACATTTTCCTTTTTCCTCATTCGTGCAAAGTCGGACTGAACTCACCTGATTCTGCCATTGCCATGATGCGTGTGTTATAATCATCACAGGAAACTTCACTTGAGACAGAAAATCTATTAAAAAAAAGGCAGAACAATCAAAACAAAATTATCTGCAATAAAGAGAGAATGTTTCTTATCAGTTCAGTTACTAAACCTGTGACAATGTGTGTCTCTGCGTGGAGCTGGGTGTGGATCAAGTTGACTAACTTGTTCTTTTAACTTCTGATCATAGACCTGTTATATATATCATGTAGTTAAAAGTGAACATGACACAAAATAGTTAATATAAATGAATGAAGCTTAGAGAGGAGCTGACACCATTGTTACATTAATAAGAGTTACATAACTTCCGTTTCTACTTCTGTTTAATCATCTAAATCTGAACTGTTGGCTTCACTTTATGTTGATAAAACTGTTTAAGTCCTAATAATAATAACTTTATTTATATAGCACTTTTAACATCGTATATCTTATCTTAAAATGTATAGTTGTAACAGGACGTGTCTTTTGGAGGCGGCTGCCATGATGATCCGCAATGACAGAGTGTGTATCGTTGCCGTAGAAACACCAGATGTTACATGAAAGACCGCTGCATAAAGAAGCGTGAGCTGCTACAGAAAGCTGCCGTACTGTTGCTGCATGTGCTGCTGTGATAAAATAATCATGTAAATTATACTCGGATACATTATTTGGAAATTGGTCTGGTAGCTGAAGAGGTTCCAGTTCAATTCCAATTGTTTGTGTAGCGTGTTCATTAAACAGAGTGTAAAACTGAATTCCCCTCGCAGGATTAATAAAGGATAAATGATTATTATTATTAGCTCGTCAGTAAACATATTCTCTTTCTTAGGTTGGTTTCACTCGTTCAATTTCACTACGGAGTTTTCTGACCGGGGACTCCCATGTTTCCCCGTCAACCTCGACGTTCTCTTTTGTTATTGTTGTATTGATTGAGAGCTCCTGATGGCAGAATATACAAACTGTGCCTTTAAGTCAAGCAGTGGAAGTTGAGTGTGGATGTGTAAATTACAAAAGGCCCATTTTATTATGTGAACTAAACATATCTTACATGTCACTGTTTATAAAAGAAGCCATTTAACCTCTGCTGGACGGGCCACTTCTTCATGCACCACTACACCACTGGTTGGTCATTTCCACCAGATCCACTTAATAAGAGTTTGGTTGAAATTGTCTTTAGGTCCTGACAGAAATGAATAACTCAGGCGCTCCGAAATAAAGAACAAAGAAAATCCATCATCTGTAGCACTTGTAAGCCTGTAAAACTGGCCATTGGCCAGTGTGAGTCGTAAAATATTCAGTTTTTTTTAACATGTATTATGATAAAAGTATTTACATACCGCTGAATGAGACGACACAATGCGGCGCTCATGCAGGTAAGTGAGGGGCGTGGCTTTTGAGGGAGAACGGAAGGAATGCTACTTTCAAAATAATGCTATTTTTGGAAATTACCAACCCTGCCTTGAAGGCTATAAACCAAAACAGTTAAAGACAAATAAAAACAAAAAGTCAACAAGCTAATGGCGATGACATACGGTAAAAAAGACGACATCACATCACAGGTAATAAAAACAGAAATTAAGATTAAAAGGAGCCAAATCAAAGAAAGCTGTTAAAAATAAAAACACAGCAGAGGATAGGAGAGTCAAACATTAAAGGATTAGGAATGGATAGATTATTAAAAGTCTTTAAAAGGAGAAATCACAGTTTTAAGAAGCGATTTAAAAGATAGCTTCCTTCATCTCCTGTTGAGATTATTTCAACAGATTCTCTCAGAAATGATTAGTTGAACAAATGTGCATGACTTAACCACTTAACATCCTGTTAGATTATATTTCTGTGTGTCTGTATACTGTTTGAACAGAAATCTGTTCCCAGATCGGTTTCTGTTAAAGCTGTAAATCTGTTCTGAGGAGCAAACTCTAAACTAAATAATCTTTAATAACTTACCTCTGTCAGTCTCAAAGAGTGAAAGTACAAGTTCTATGTAGTTTTTACAAATGCATTAATCTGATTTATTTCTGTAGTTTTGTACTCACCTGCTGAGAGTTCTGCTGCGACATCACACCGAGATGAGAAAGGACAATTAAAAACAGGAGCAGAATCTGAAATATTCATAATGATCACGTGATTATGGGTGAGGCTTCATATTTAAAGAATGAATAACTGTTTCAATATGTTAATGAGACAGAGAGAATATTTCAGGCACTTTGTTTTTGAATGTAATTTAAAGAGACTCTGTCTTTTTGCCTTTATTAGATCAGGCAGCTGATCAGAGACAGGACATGCTGGGAGGAGAGAGTGGGGGATGATATGCAACAAAGGGCCGAGGTCGGGTTCGAGCACCCTGGCTGCTGTGGCGAGGACTACAGAAAAAAACTTTTTCAAGGTTTTTATTGACATTTTTTGACCTGAGCTCTTAATTTTTTTTTATTGCCGTATATTAATGAAGACCTTAAACATGTTTTTGGTCACTTTTATTTCTTAGGTGTTAAGTCTAACTCCTTTAGAAACAGAACCTTAGTGCACACTTGATACTGAAACTTCTGAGCTGGGTGTGTATTAGGAAAAAACACCTGAGGTCAAATGCTTTCATCGATTCATTTCCTCATATCTGAAATGATTCCTGTAAGTATCTTAATTAAATACTTTCAAAGAAGCCAGTCATATTTGTATAACAGGTAGTGTTGAAGTCAAGACCACACTAACCGAGACCAGAGTGCTCTGAGACCAAGACAAGACCAAGGCAGGGCGAGACAGCAGACCAAGAGCATAAATATCAATGAAAAATCATCACTCATTGTCACTCATTTAGTCCCTAACTACGGGAAGGTTGTGGTCGTAACCAGGGGACAAAAATCAAACTATGAATTAATTAAAGTTATTTGTTCTTTTGCTAGTGGCGATTTCCTTCTAAACTCAGTGATGACTTGGAAAAATGTCCAATCAGTGGAGGTCTTGACCGGTCTTGATTCAGAATCCGGAGTCCGCCCGGTCTGAGACCAGGGCAAGACCGAGTAAAAATGGCTTTAATTCAAAGATGAGACCTTCAAAAAGTGGTCTTGAGACCAAAACTGATTTCAAGTACTACGACAGCATGTTTGTTAAGTTTTCTAGATAAATGAAGTTCATTATCAAATTAAGGACAACAGCGTTTAAATATTATTCAGAGTCATTATTTGGAGACAAACATTCAACATCCAGTTGTATTTGTAGTTGTAATAAAGAGTGAACTGTTCCCTTAATTTAGCCTACAGCAGTATACTGTAGGGGTCAGATGGAGGGGGCTGGTGAGAGTGGGGAGCAGAACAGTTTTTCGTCTGCAAAAGGAAAGCTTAAGCTAAATGTACACTACAAGATAATTAGGCTGTTTTTTGGCCCGATTCCCCACTTCCAGCCAAAGTCAGCGAAGATCTGCATATCTTGCCAGATTCTCCTGTGGTGTGAGGTGTGTTAAGAGTGATTCTAACCTCCCTGATCTTCTCGGGAGACGATCATGCACGCCCCGATTTCAAATCGTAAATATTAAACAAGTTCAATATTTACAATCAGAAATCCTGTTGTGTGGGGAGATCGCCACGGGCGGCCGAGCACGGACTCTGTGGATTTTCATGTGGAACGGAACAACAGCCAATCTGAAAGTTAGATGGATGTCAAAAATTTGTGGCAACAACAAGAGTGTTTATTCAAAGTGTTTGTAAAACAAACCACAATCTAGCTGACAAAATGTTCGCCGTAATGGATGTACCGGTCATGTTTGTTTACTCTTAAAGAGGACATATTTCCCCCTTCTCCACCTTTTCAAACAGTCCCCCTGTGGTCTAAATGAAACATCTGTGCTGTGCTTTGGTCAAAAAATAACATGAATCAAGCACCAGAGGAGGTTTGTGACCCTGTATAAACCAGCTCTCTCAGAACGCTCCATTTTGGTGTGTGTCTCTTTAAATGCAATGAGCCCCCCCTGAGTTTTCCCGGTAGACATCACTCTTACTTCACTAGCGAGAATAAAAATGGCGAACCAAAGCTAGGGTCCATGGGTGGAGATACCAAGGCGGAGATACCAGGGGAGGGGAGGGTATTTTCTTTTTTTTTTACCAGAATCCCACTGTGACATCACAAGGAGAGCAAATTTGAAACGGAGCATTTTTCTCTGCATTGTAAGACTTATGCGAACCACAAACAAAGGACTGGATGTGTTTAATTCACATTTTGTGGGTCAGTAGACACTCAGGTTACCCAAATATAAGTTCAGAAACACTGTAAACGGATTTTTCATAACATGTCCCCTTTAAAAAAAAGGGGAAACCTACCAGTACCCAAATGATAAAAAAAAGTGATTTATTGCTGTCAAAATCAATATTTCAGTGTAACCTTAATTACAGGGGGTGTCTGGCTGACTCAATTTTCTGATATTTTTGAGTAAGGACACCTATTTTAACAGTTTTATTTACAGACCTTTGTCAGAGTGTGAGTGTGTGCGTGAGAAAGAGAGAGAGAGAGAGAGAGAGAGAGACATCACTGAGTGAGGCAGAGGAATAGGTAACTTCCCAAAGCTAATGGCTCTGCTCAGGTTAAAAATCAAGGCATCACTCAATCACATCGAAGTGTGGGTAAGAAAATAGCTAAACATTAAAAAGTCTCGATTTTTACAATCGAGACTTAAAATCGCAACTTGTGTCGCAATTTTCGTTTGCTGCCGCGATTTAATTGCAAAAAAACGTCTAAAAACATTAAAACTTTCTTGAAAAGTTGCCACAAAATTAGGCATTTTAGGCCGCAACAATCCCCCAAAAAGTCTGCGTAATCCTGGATAGAGTGAGTAGGTGTCAGAGTTAAATATTGCTCCTTCTTATGCTGCCTTTTCAGTAAGAATATATACCATACACCAGGAATGTGAGTAAGTGGAAAATGTTACGGTTTGTATCCAGACCCAAAAGCAGACACGGCAGCAAAGTTGAAGGATTTGAGGTTTTATTGCAGGGTTTGGGAAAGGTGGATGGCTGACTGGCTGGCTGGTAATGATGGCGTAGAGGAGACTATGGAGTAGCTGGTTCTGTAGGCAGGCGGGTGAGTGGTTGAGTTGTCTGTGAGGAGAGCAGACTGGAGGAGATGACACCGGTGAGAATCTGGACAACAGGAGAGAAGAAATCAGTTAGGATCCACTAGTAAAACACTCGGAACAAAACTCTAACAAACGTTAGGAGCAGCCGATAGTATCTACCACTTCAGTAGACTCAATAATCTGGCAATGAGTCAATTTGAGCCCAGGGCTTTTAACTTGAGGCAGATGAGCAGATGAGCTGCAGGTGTGAGTAGTCACCCGGTGTTGATTGCAGCCACACCCTCCAGAGACACACACAGACAGACAGAGGGGGAGGGGACACAAAGGATACACAGAAACAGGATCACAGCCAGAGCCGTAACAGAAAAGTTATTTAGCTTAAAATAAAGAAATAGTTTCGAAATTAAAAAAAGTTATTTTTCTGCTTGTTAAATTTTTTTTTTCTTTGCCACTGATACTTTGCTAAATGTTGATTAGTGCTGGATTAATGTTGGATCTTTGCAGATAATATAACAAAGATCACAGTCCAGGAGTGCTGTTTCAGGGAAAAAAAACTCACTTTCTCCCAGAGACATCATTTTCTCAAATGCCAAAGTTGGTTCTGAGATTGGAGTACAGGGAGGCAGACACCCTCTTTACTTTCAGGGTAGGCTAATGCTAACCCTGGACCTGCCCTACTTCACTTATTGATCCACATTTCGAACACCCTTCCAGACTTTACTTATGCATAATCTGTTTACTCTGTTATCTTTTTATTATACCCAAAGCCAGATAAGCTTCAGCTTTAGCATGTCTCCTCTTCATACAACTTGACACATTATGTATCATTTAAATATGCAGTTAAATTAATAGCTTTACTATAAATACAGTAAATCAACAATCCCTTAAAACAGTTGTTCTCAACTGGTGGGTCGGGACCCAAATGGGTTGCGGAGCCATTTTCAGTGGGTCGCGATTGTGTGCCTTGGAAAAAAATAGTGTCAAGAAGTCTGTGAAGCCGTTTTTAAACATGTTTGTTTTGAGCCATCTCTTTGCTCTTACACTTGTTTGTAGCGTCTGAGCACCAAATGGCTCACTTTTTCATTGAATAAATCTGATGGGTCCTGAGTCTGGACCAGTTGGGAACCACTACTTTAAACAGTGTGACCTTTATCTCTATATTACCTATAGCTTGTTTAACTAAGTGGTTGGTGGGTAATGTTTTCACGCTAAACTTTGACGTACTGTATGACCAAATATGAAAAAAACAACAACATTGCAGAACAAACACTTAACGGACACAGAAACCTGAAAACAATCATGGCCGTGTACTGTTAGCTGCACTTCACACTTCAACGCTAAAGTCCAGTTTGTTTGACCAGTGTGACCACTCAGTATCGTGCTCAGGCACGGTACACTTCCTTGGCTTTGGCACACTTCGGAGAGGTGTGCTTCGGCACGGTACACTTCATGCACAAGCACAAGCACCCGTAAACAACCTTCAACAGCCTTCATTATGGAGAAATCCAGAGTTTCATGTCTGTATCTGACTAACATGACACAATATGAGCCACAAATTAGCTGTCATGTTCTCTGCGTTGTTCACCGATGTGCGGGCGTCCGCGCGGACTCGTGTGCTGGGGGGGGCAATCGTGCTTGAGTATAGCACGGTACAGATGACCAGTGTGACCGCGCCCCTAAGACTCTGTGAAGTCTCAGCAAAGTGCCCACTTCAGAGTTCAGAGAGACACTGCAAAGCCAGAAATTAAAGATGCGTCACATTAAAAAAACACTCTGTACCTAACATGCACATGCTTGTCTTTAAACCTCTGAAGGACTAAGGACCTTCTCATGCTGCTTTCAGTCAAACAAAAAAGGAGAGAGTCTGCATTCAGTTACTGAACAGCACAGAGGCAGGAAAACCTCCAGATGACATTAGACCACATTTTAGTCCACGTTCAACTCTTCTATTTGCAGCCTTCTACTGACTAAACCTTGAATAGTAATCATCTCGTCATCCCATCCCGTCTGCTTGTCGATCTTCTTAATATTTTCATTTTCCTTAAAAACAAAATCCAACTGTGTTAGATTTGTAAACTGCCTTTGAGAAAGAATACGCTGATGCAAAATATTCCTTCTCTCTCTCTCTCTCTCTCTCTCTCTCTCTCTCTCTCTCTCTCTCTCTCTCTCTCTCTCTCTCTCTCTCTCTCTCTCTCTCACCTGATAGAGTTCCAGCGCTGTCGCCTCTGTTTATAAAAATAACTTGTTTTTGAAAACATTTGCATCAGCCTCTGGGCAACACCCTTCTATCATCCGCCCTATTAAATACTTTGAACCTCCCCTTTAATGTCCCTCGGAAGATGTTGTGGTTGCAATGTTACAATTATGGACAACTAGAAATTAATAAACACTTCCTAATGAACCCTGGGTATGCTTCTGGGTGAAATACAGACAGCAGTGGAAGGGCAATCTATCCCTCATTGAACAACTTAAAGAGGTCTGCAGCGAGTGGCTGAGAAAGATACTCTGATTTATCCATGAACAAAATGTGAAAGCATTTTTTTACATTACTTGGGAGTACTAAACAACCTTGATGCAATGTCTCCATTCCAGCTGACACTCACCTCAGCATTAGCAAAAAAGGTCATTTTAATTTACCAATATCAATCTGAAATGAATTCTCTCCATGCTGCCTAAATGTCGGCCTCTGGTGGACAGAGTTTTCACATCCACTAAATGTTCTGCGGGTTCTGCAGTCAGGTGTGCTTCAGTTATCCAGAAACTCTTGAAAACTGTGAAAATGCAAAGTTAATCAGGTGTAAAGGAGTTCTGTGGCAACTTGGTTTTATTTGCAAACAGCAGTGGTGGATAAAAATTGACTTCAAAACAAATGCTGATATATGTTTATACTTTATAGCCACAAACACAAGAAGAATCAACATAACACATTTAAAAACAGATAGTTCAAATCATCAGTGTCATTAATAATTTCAGACATTTGATTTTTAATCTCTATGTTATCGTTTTATTGAATTTCATGCAGTCTATTTAATGTCATCATCTGTACAGCTGACACTTCAATCAAAGCCTGCAGTAAATTTTGTCATGATTTAATCTGTTTTATTTTATAATTTCCTATCCTCGTGTTTCTTTCCCTGTGTGTTTTCCTTTTTTTTGACCTCCACAGGTTCCAGGGAATAGGGCTGTAGTACTATATACTAGTAGTATATTCTGGATTTTAAATCAAAACCGGTCGAGATTGTTTTAAAATAACAAATAACTTTTATATAAAATAACTCTTTCTGAAAAAACAGATAAATCATTCATAATTTGTTTTGTATCCCCCGGTTACAGCCGCAACCTTGTTACGGTCTAAATGAATGACACGCCCCCTGTACACCAGATGATGATTTTTCAGTGATAGTCATGGTCTTGGTCTTGTCTCGGTCTCGGGTATTTCTTGGCTTCGGTTAGTGTGGTCTTGACTACAACACTGAGTCCGCACTCCAGAAGTAGCTCCAAATAAATGAAATTTAATGGACTCTTGAAAAAATTCACGATAAAAGGTCAACAGGACCAATGCATGAATATTACAAAATGCAAAAGTGAAAACAAAAATTATTTTACATTGGTGTACGTCTCCAGCAGAAAAAAAACCCCTGCAGTCACAGGAGGATTACCAGAATGAGTGACTAACTATAAACATCATGAGATATCAACATAATAACATGGAAGCACAAAATCAATAGAGGCGGCTTTATAATATGGAAAAAGTGGTAGAGACCAATGAAAAAATTGAAATGAAAAGCACAGCAATCGTGCCTTTGTGAACACACATTTTCTGAAAAGTGGAACAGGAAAAAGACGGAGAAGATGGACTTTTCTCATAATTGGGGGGTTTGTAGACAGACAAGAGACACATGTTAGAGTTAGAGAAACATGATTTTACATAATATATGACATTTAATGCTTTTGAGGAATTAAGTTTACATCTTAAGCAAAAAGTCCTCATCTTTAAAAGTCTCTATACTGAAATAGTTCAAATTAAGAATGAATCTCAATTTTTGGAGACTTCTGGTAATGTTTTTTTAATTTGTTCATACGTCATAGTACCGTAGTTTTATGAAGATTTCCGTTTCAAGCCGCCATATTTACGCCCTGCAACGTTTCGGCTTTAATCTGAATTATGCAGAGGTGTAATGAGGGGATGAAGTGATGCCCCCTCTTGGAGACTGTTTCAGCAGGAAGTGCAGCACTGTGTGTGTGTGTGTGTGTGTGTGTGTGTGCATATGTCTGACTGTGTGTATGTGGAACTTTCGCTGTGCCGCGCTTCTACAAGGCCGAAATTTTTTTGAATTCACCGACTGGGACACCAATATTACGTCGTTGTGGAATCAAGATGAATGAACAAAGACGTGATGACGGCTAAACCCAGTAAAGGCACTTTTGTGAAGTAAAGCAGTCTTAAAAGGGCTAGTATGAGTGAATAAAATGTGTTCCCTAATGTGAATAAGCAAGCCTCGATGGACTTATTTTAAATGTTCTCTGTTCAACATAATTAGGAGATGTTGCATCTTCTTTTGTTTTTCTTTTCACGATATTCTTTCTTCATGTCTCGTAGTTCTTGTCTGAGTTTCTCTACCTCTTCTTGATTCAGTTGTTTATCACTCTCCATTTCTTGTATTTTCTTTTTTAGCTGTTCCATTTCTTCAGCTTGTATTTTGCTGGCTTTCTGTTCCATTCTCATGATTTTCTCGACTTCCCTTTGAACGGCGTCCTTTGTCCATAGGAACATCTCAGCATTGTAGCAGCTGCCCCCATTTGCCTGCTTCATTGCCTCGATCTTGGTAAGCAGCTCTCCGACTTGTCCGCGGTTCTTGTCTTCTTTTGTGATTTTTGTCAGCATAGTTATTGAAGACCTGGTATCTCCCTCCACAGTCATTTACAAGTTGTTTGACGAAATCATCGCAATCCTCCACATAACTCTCTATTGACCGACCTTCCAGGGCTTCTCCTCTAGTAAAAAGAATAATGATGAAGTCTTGAGACTTTTTACCAAAAACACTCTTAATCAGTTCCACAGAGTCTTTCTCTTTTTGTGCAATGTTCCCAATCTGCATCACCAGCAAGAACACGTGAGGTCCAGGAGCCAACATGCTGATGCATTTAAGAAGCTCCTGTTGGATTTCATCATAAGACAGAGTTGTGTCGAACAAGCCTGGGGTGTTGACCACAACAACAGGCCGTCCATCAATCTCTCCTGTTGCTTTCTCACAAGACGTGTTCGCTGGCTTCGGGGCAACTCTAGGTGTGAAATGTGTGTTGCCTAAAATGGTGTTTGCTGTTGCACTCTTTCCACTGCCTGTTTTTCCAATCAGCACCATCCTGAGACATTCCCTGTTCTGACTTTCATCGTCACCGCCCATTGCAGTCTCCTGTTTCTCATCTTCATCCCACAGTTCAGCTGCTGGTTTTTTATCTTCGTTTGCTTTCCCTCGAGCCTCAGCAGATCCTTCTGATCTTTTCTTTTCCCCACCATCAGACAGCCCTGAGATCTGCAGCTTGTCCTTGATTTTTATAAAACAATATTGCCTTTCACAGCTCTGAATAAGCTCCTGGATGTCCTTATTTTCTTTCTGAAAGTTATAAATATCTGTAGTGGTCTGGTCTGACTCCACAGTGAACATAATCATGGTCTTCATAACTTTGAGTCGAGAGCTGAAGATGTTCTGGATGGTTTTGAACTCTTCCTTGTCTTCATTGGTGAGTGGACCCCCAGGTAGGACATGGATGAAGGCATTGACACCTTCAAGGTCACAGATGGAGATACACCTTGATGATTCCTCCATCACAGCCTCTGGAGGTTTTCCATACAAGGCAGGAAGCTTCACCAGGGAAACACTTCCAAACTCTGGTAAGCTAGAGCTGGGATGAAGATCGATCTGACTTAAAACGGCGTCAGCTGCTAAAGTCTTCATCGATTCACTCCTCCCACATAGAACCAGGTTCATCACCTGATTGTTGTATCCTGACATGGACTTCAGTGATGAAATGACCATCTCACGAACTGAAATGAAAACACAGAATTAGAAAGACAAACCACAAAAAAACCAAACCTATGGTGAAATGTACAGTATTATGCAAAGTCAGTCAGAGAATGAAAGTGAAATTAACTCCTATAACACTATATAACTCATTAACAATCTTTAAATAATATCAACCTAATTTATTACTAATGTGTATTCAGAATGTGATGACCCATCCACACCTTTTGGTGTTCCTGTGCTGCTTGTTTGTTATTCTGTTATAATTTCAGGTCAAGGCGGGATCGTAATCAGGGGATGAGCTACACCTTGGCCCTGTGTAGTCCTCGTCCATATAATCCTCTTCTTAGGGTAAATAAATACATTTGGTGTTATTTTGGTCAACCTCGTCTTCGACTAAGAGTCGGGTTGTAACAAGAAAAAAGCAAAGCCAATTTGGTGCGCTGATGTCTGACATTGACAAGTCATGGTAATGTCTTCCTTCTAGCCTTTTAGGATTATACCAAAATAGAAGGAAAAAAGAATATAAGCAACACTGGTAACATGAAAACTTTGTCAGCCGTTTGTGTTCTGTTGCTGTTGTCTGACCTCGGCCGAATAAATAAAGATAATCCACAGTCTGTTTCATGATTTCATCATTGGATATTTACAGCAGGAAAAGCACCAAAAAACTACTTATCCAGAAGGCTGAACATATGCAGATTGGGTTCAAACAAAAGTGATCCTTATGACTAACAGGGGTGGAAATGTACTTTGCTTATGGTCTTCACGGACTATTTCTAATTTACCAAACATCAGATTAAAATCTTAAAACGTTTTCACATCTGCACTCCGGATAATATCTAGATAATTACAGGTTACTCTGAAGCTAACATCTCAAAAGTACACTCAGTTTACTGCACATTGCACATACTGCACAAGTTCACTTTTTCTTTAAATTTTATTGTATTTTATTTACTACCTTTTGCACAATTTAGAATTTATTACTGTAAATATTATTTATCTAGTTTTACCTTATCTTATTTTACCTTATTTTGGTTATATTGCACCGCGGGACGGAGACAAACAAAACTTCGATTCCACTGTATGTCTGGCATATTTTGAAATTGACAATAAAGTTGACTTTGACTTTGAGGACTTCTCCGGAGATTCTCCCGACCTAGCCGTTCACATATGCTCCTCACAGCGGGGGACTCTCCCTGTCAGAGGGGAGGGGGATCGAGGGATTTTCTGAGGTAAGACGTGACGTAAATAAAGAACACGGAAGTAGCGGCCGAAGCAACAGAGTCCTCTACACGACGTTATAATGAGACTATTTGCCTTTATATCAATACTATGTGTAATCCAATGGAATGACAACATCCACAAAAGAGTGGAGAACAACATACTGACGAACAGGAAACATAATGCAGATGTTTAATTACGTACACAGAGATCGTAGCGGTCGCGTGCAGACACTTTAGCCGGTCACTATATAAACGTCACTCGGGTCCTATTGGCTCGAATTGAAAATCTCCGGAGTGTATGCGGTCACGTTCAGACATCAGCTCACTCGGACTTTCTGTGGAAAAAATACTAGGTCTGGTTGAAGACACTCCGGGTAAAGTCCGCGCGAAAAATTCGGCTGTTTGCGTTCACACACAGCCTAAAAACCTCCGGGTAGCCAAATCTTCAGAGTTTTTCAGGAGATTTCTGCATGTGTGAAAAGGGTTTAAGTTTGTACTCACTGAAAGGTGGTAATCTCATGCTGTGTCTGGACTTCAGGAGAACAGTTGTGTCTTTAGCTGTAACAGAGAGAAGAAATCTTTAAAATTATTGAAGTCTTTCAAACTCAAATGTATATTCATTATAGTTCAATAGCAACTCCCTGTTACTGAGCAGCCTGGAGTGTGTCAATAACCCTTTTCACACATATGGATGTTGTCATTCCATTGGACTACACGTAGCATTGATATAAAGGCGAATATTCTCATTATAACGTCGTGTAGCGGACTCTTTTGTTTCGGCCGCTTCTTCCACGTTGTTTTTTTACATCACGTTTTACCTCAGGAGACCCACCACCCCCCCTGCCCTCTGACAGGGATTGTCCAAATGACTAACAATGTGAACTAGATCATAACTTCCAAAAGCGGGGGTCGGGACCACCCGGGTGGTTGCGAGCCACCAAGAGGGGCGTTGGGAGATGCCATTAAAAAAAAAACGAATTATATTAGAAATATTTTGAAGTTGTAAACATTTCCGTTATTGTAAAAATATATACAAAAAGTGAAAATAAATTGTGCTGCATGGGTGTTGAAAAATATTTTCAAAATAGTTGAAAAGAATTAGTCTCTCTGGTGCTCTTCAGTGCAGGGATCCAATGTAAAAGCTATTGAAGCGGCCTGAGGCACTCAGAGGGGTATGCATAAAAAGTTTTTAATACATCAGGGCTACCGATTCATCAAAACATACCAACGTGTTTCAGCCACACAGGCCTTCATCAGGGCATAGCCTAGACCTGGCCTCGATCAGTAGTAGTCACATTGTTTAGTAATGAGAGTTAAAATATCTATGTATATCTAAATGTGACTAAATATTGCGCAAATTATTCTGTCAGAAATGCTGAAAAACAAAACCAAGAAAACTAGAGAAAAGGAGAGAAGTCCAGTTCCCCATTTAGACCTGGATATTGCACAGCTTTCAATGTATAAATCAAAAGGACTCTCTTTGTAGGAGCTTTTTTAAATCTGTCTCCACCTCTGACTGAGCTTGGTAAATGATCAATACCTGACATTTTAAAATGTTCATCATGGCAGCTTTAACTCTTCAGGATGACTCATTTACTTTCTTTGTCCCAATGTGTAACCTTTTTACTAAACCACTACTGATTATGTGACTGGTTGTAAATCAGTAGCTTGGCTGCCATTTTGTACCTGCCCAGATGAAGGCCTGTATGGCTGAAACATGTTGGCATGTTTTTGTGAATCTGTAGCCCTGATGTGAGCGTGCAGGACCTTCTGTCTCTGCTCAAAGTCGGAGCACATGAAGCAGCTCAATTGTTTCTGGTCACAAATCACTCTGTCACATTACATTTATTGACCCTCCACTGTGGCTGGTAGGGTTGAGCAAAACATTTCCAACCCTGATCTGTACATGACTAACACAAGACATCAACATTTTCACTGTATCAGTGAAACGTTATAACATCGGGATCATCTTTAAACAAAAACAGTTTAACTCAAGGTGTTTATTTCTGTTGTTTCTAACCTGAGGTGTCTGTGAATTGTAGGCCCGCCATCATTGAGTCCAGGGTCTCTCACGTCCTTAACTGTCAGCATACACCTGTGGATCAGTACCAACCAATCAATCAACCCAACCAACCAACCAACCAACCAACCAATCAATCAATCAATCAATAAACCAACCCACCAATCAATCTTATTTGTATAGCACCAATTCATAACAAATGTGATCTCAAGACACTTTACAAAGGAGCAGGTTAAAGAGCTTACTCTTTGTTATGTCAGTACCTATCAGTTTTAACTATTAATACAAGAATACAGTCCTTTATTTTACAATACAGGTTTCAAATGTATTCTATTAGATTCAAACAACTTTATTGATCCCTCTTGGGGCAATTGGTGGTCTTTTAAGTTTATATTCATAAGTTAGTCGTGTCCACTCACCAGGCGAGATCTTCTTTGCTGCCTTTAGTGAGTCAATGAACTTCAGACTGCAGAGAAGGCACGAAATCAAGACCAACCTTTATTTTACTAAATGGGTGGCACACTGGTAAGAAACGATCCACGCATGCGCGCGCAACGACCGGCCGGGAAACTGTTGTGTTTTTAATGTTTCTGTGAGTCCGTCACGTCTTGTGTCATAACATCTGATCGGGGCACTGCTGGTTTCACATATGGAGTATGGATATTCTGTATTATTTTATACAGACTGCTTACCTGCGAGGTCTGCAGGGCACTGTGCCAGGTGAGGACGGTGAGGACTCAATGCTCCAGGGACCAGCTGCTGCAGCTGAACTTTGCCGGTCCAGCTCAGCCGACTGATCCCACGCTGCAACTACCGGACTTTATTCTGAGAGATGAACATGGTGGTGTTAAGATGGACAAGAAGAGAAAGCGGGGCAAACGAGGAGGCGTCAGACTACACATGAGGAAACAGCGGCTCACTGGGATTCCTCTGCCCACGGTTATCATGGGGAACGTATCGTTACGCCCTTTTTTACCTGCCCCGCGAGCTCCCTCAACTTTTTAATACTATGGTGTATGGCTTTATTCACCTGAAGGTAGACGCTGCCTCTGCCTCAGGTACCGTCTTGTAATGCAGAAACTGCAGTCGATCTCGCCTGATGCACTGAACTTCATACTGTTTGTTTTTAATCACGTCTCTCTCAAAAACTCACTCATGTCACCTGTCCAACTAGACAGACATCGGATCTTTGTTATGGGTCTGTTAAGGACAAATACAAATCCCTCCCACTTCCTCCTCTGGGCTCGGCGGATCATAACTGCCCACGCAGGACTGTTTTAAAGAGAGACAAAGTTAAGACTAAAGACATGAAGGTCTGGTCAGGAGAGGCAGTTATCTGCCTGCAAGAATGTTAGAACTGCATTGACTGGGACATTTTTACACAGTCCCGTGGAGATGATGTGGACCCCTTGGTGGATGTATACCTGCTCATATGTGACCTTCTGTAGGGACATGATCATCCCCTGTAAGCGTGTTAAAAATGTAGCCTTTCCCAACAATAAACCATGAGTTACCTCATCTGTAAAGTCCTGCTTAAGAAGGAAGAAATTTTGAAGAGGGATCATCATCTGATATACATTCAGCTACTAAGGAGCTGAAGATTGAACTTTAAAATCAAAGCTGAACTACAAGTCAGAACTGGAAATTTTGGCTCAGCCTGCATGGGCGACTATGAAAACCATAGCAGGTCTCCAAAATACAGAGAGTATCATTCATGTCATTTTAGATGCTTTTAACTCAGATACTGAATTGGCTAATGTTCTTAATTGCTTTGACTGTCGTTTTGATCCTCTTGACTTTAGCACCCTGAGTACCAGCCCCTCCCTTCAGGTAGATGATACAGGGTACCCTTACAGTAGGAACAAGAGCTTCAAATATTCCTTTGTCCCCTTGTCCATCAAAGCCCTCAACACTAAGCTGTAATGTGTATGTATGTATGTGTGTATGTGTGTAGATGTACCTGCACTGTTCATTACTTCTCTTAATTTTCACACATTTCTGGTTTTAGTAATTCACTCGTATGGAATTGAATGATTATTTAACTGACATGTTTTACTAACGAATGAATGTATTTTGATAATTTGCTACTGTATCAGAACACTGTGATGTCCAAGGTGAATTTCCCACTAGGACAATACAGTTCATCTTATCTTTATCAATGAAATTCTGAGTCTTAAACTTAAGGACGATCAGCACTTTAACATTCACCTTAAGGACGTTGCCTTCCTTTCTGTAACAGTAAACAAAAAACATATCTGTGGACGTTTACTGAAATCATGTGCAAAACAGCCGAGTCCTGTATTTCACAGTATCTTTAATAAGTCCTTGCAAACACGTCCCCAATCTCTGGAAAGATGCTGTGGTTGTCCATGTCCCTAAATCCAGTTGCCCTAAAACCCTGAATGATTTCATGCCATTTGCTCTGACCTCAATTTTAATGAAAATTTTAGAGAAGCTGGTCAGGTCTGAGGTTCTGAGGCTAACTGAACATGTGCTGGATCCCATGCAGTTTGCATATCGGCCTCACAGAGATGTGGAGGACGCTACAGTCACTCTGCTTAACATGCTTTTCAGACATCTGGAAGGTAATGGGACTCATGCTTTCAATCCAGCCCCATATCTTAATCAGGAGGCGTTTGGAACAGTTTGACTTGAGAAAGAAATCTGGCATGCTGGATAATCGTCTTCCTAACCAATAGGACACAGAGAGTCAGAGTAAATGGGACTCTGTCTGAACTAAAGTGCACTTCTACTGGCTCTCCACAAGGGTGTGTGCTGTCACCCTTATATGTGTCAGAGAAGATTTCACATCAGATCTATTGTAAAATATGCCAATGAAATGTTACTGTATATGACTGAAAAACAGTCAGACTTATGTGGTAAGCATGACTAAACATAACTCAAATAAGTTTAAAACTACAACTTTTATATTATCACACAAAGTTTGAATCAGGGATATCAACATTTGTGGCAGTTAAGCCGCTGCAAAATGGTCATATTTGAAACAATTTCTTTCTGCAGAGAAGCAGAGATACACATTAGAGGGTGGAGGTTGCATTGATTTGACAGAATTTGTAAAAGCCTTGCTTGCCTAATTTCCCAGGACAGTGTACAACCTGGTCAATGCAAACATTTTCTGCAAATGCAACACCAACTCTCTTGGGAGGCACTTTTGTAAAGTAATTTATTGTTAGATTGGCTAGAAGCAGAATAAAAGTAATTTCCATGTATGTATGGACTAATTTTATTTTCATTTCACTTAATAATTTGGTTTTATTTGAAATGTAACAACTTAAGTATCTATTTGCTGGTCTCTCTGTTCTGTTGGAGCAATTATTTCAGCACTCCTACATGAAACTTGCAGCTCACACATTTAAAATGTGGTTTCAAAACAGAATTGAAGAATATTCCCACAGCATGTAGGTACAGTTGTTTCCAATGTGACTGAGGACATTTCGACCAGCCTCACAGACTTTACTTATCCATAATCTGTTTACTCTGTTATCTTTTTCTGATACCCAAAGACAGAAAGTGCTAAGTTAATCAGGTGTAAATGAGTTCTGTGACAACTTGGTTTTATTTGCAAACAGCAGTGGTGGATAAAAATTGTCTTCAAAACAAATGCTGATATATGTTTATACTATACTATATAGCCACAAACACATGAAGAAGAATCAACATAACACATTTAAAAACAGATAGTTTAAATCAATCAATCAATCAATCAATCAATTTTTATTTGTATAGCGTCAACTCATAACAAGTGTTATCTCGAGACACTTTACAAAAAGCAGGTAAAAGACCTTACTCATTGTTATGTTACAAAGATCCGGCCTATCCATCATGAGCACTTAAACAAAGTAAATCATCAGTGTCATTAATAATTTCAGACATTGATTTTTAATCTCTATGTTATCGTTTTATTGAATTTCATGCAGTCTATTTAATGTCATCATCTGTACAGCTGACACTTAAATCAAAGCCTGCAGTAAATTTTTGTCATGATTTAATCTGTTTTATTTTATAATTTCCTATCCTCGTGTTTCTTTCCCTGTGTGTTTTCCTTTTTTCGACCTCCACAGGTTCCAGGGAATAGTGTTGTAGTACTCGAAATCGGTCTTGGTCTCACACTAGATGGAAATCAAGACCGGTCAAGACCACCACTGAAAGGCTATTTCTCCACGTCATAACTGAGATTAGAAGGAAAACGCCTCTTTTTAAAATAACAAATAACTTCAATTCATGTGTAGTTTAATTTTCATCCCCGGTTACGGCCGCAACCTTCCCGGTGTTACAGTCTAAGTGAGTGGCACGCCCCCTAAACACAAGATGATGATTTTTCTGTGATATTTATGGTCTTGTCTCGGTCTCGGAGCAATCTGGTGTTGGGTATTTCTTGGCTTCGGTTAGCATGGTCTTGACTACAACACTACCAGGGAATACTGCCGGGTGTGTCCCAAACAAAGGAGACAGCTTTATTTTAGCATAGCTTCTCACATTCACTGGAACCTTTCTAAAAATGTTCTTGATGTAACAAATTTTAGCGACTAAATCAGAATCAGAATCAGAAATATTTATTAATCCCAGAGGGAAATTTGATCATTACAGTTGCTCTTAAACACTCTCCATTTTTTTTTTTAGCTGTTCCATTTCTTCAGCTTGTATTTTGCCGACAGTCTGGTTCCTTTTCAGGGCTTTCTGGACTTCCCTTTCAACGGCGTCCTTTGTCAGTTGGAACATCTCAGCATTGTAGCAGCTGCCCCCATTTGCCTGCTTCATTGCCTCGATCTTGGTAAGCAGCTCTCCGACTTGTCCGCGGTTCTTGTCTTCTTTGTGATTTTTGTCAGCATAGTTATTGAAGACCTGGTATCTCCCTCCACAGTCATGTACAAGTTGTTTGACGAAACCATCGCAATCCTCCATATAACTCTCTATTGACCGACCTTCCAGGGCTTCTCCTCTTAGAATAATCAATAAATCAATCAACCAATAAATCAATAAATCAATCAATCAATCCTATTTGTATAGTGCAAATTCATAACAAATGTGATCTCAAGACACTTTACAAAGGAGCAGGTTAAAGAGCTTACTCTTTGTTATATAATATCACTACCTATCCGTTTTAACTATTAATACAAGAATACAGTCCTTTTTACAATACAGGTTTCAAATCTACTCTATTAAGTTTATATTCATAATTTAGTCGTGTCCACTCATTGTTACTTTTCTAAAAACCAGAGTTTGTCAAAATGTCAGAAAATGAAGAGGAAATGTCCGTCTGTGAGTAAACAAAAAAGAATGAGGAAAAAATAAACTATTGGATGATTACTTAAGTTTCTTACACCAGCAAAAGATAAGCATAAAGTGCCCCCTCCAAAAGCAGATAATGGTAGCTATTATTCATAAAATAAAGGTGATGAACGCTAGTTGGGGGGGAGGGGGCTGTTAATTTTGCCCAGGCCCCAAAAGACTCTAGAAACGCCACTGCCTACATGTCTGGTCATTGTTGTTGCTTTGTAACTTTTGACAATGCAGAAGAAGTGAAATAAATAGAACACTTTAGAAAATATTAAAAGACCGAGGAGATGAAGAAAACAAATCTGTAGAGTTAATTTACGGGTACACCACAGACTATCTGAGGGTTAATGGAGTAGACCTGCTTCACTTAGCTCTCCGTTAATCAGCAGCTCTTTCCTCAGGTGTGTTAACCTTCAAATAGAAGCCAGTGATGCGCACAGGTGATTTGACTATCCCGTTTCCTCGTTTCTTGTTCAGCTATTCAAATACAGACTCTCTTTAGACAGCCAGAGAGAGTGAGGAGAGGGAGAGAGGGTAGAAAAGAATAGAGCATAAAAATATTACTTCAAACTCTCTGGACTTTTATCTCAACAACTCGAGGAGGGTCTCTGAGAGAAACCGGTGAGATTATGATGACGTGTGGGATGAGCGAGGACAACAGTCGGCGGTGATTGGTGAAGGTAAGAGCCGATTTTGGATTGCATACCAAACGTCATTCAAAAATAACACAATTCTATGTATTAATGTTTAAAGGCATTCTATCTTGTTATAATGTATTATTTCAAATGTCTGATTAACTAACAGAGTACAGAGATGAATTCGGCACCGATAATGACCATTAAATGTCAACTTGGAGGCACATGTAATGTAAAACAGACTTTAATTAGCCCCCATCCTTTCGTTCTCCCAGCATGGTGAATCACGTAAACAATAACATTCAGTTTAGTTAAATACTTATCTGGTCTTCGCATGTGAGCCGAACACAAAGGTTTTTAATCCTAAAGTATTTTAAACTGCTTCTGAATCAGTGTCTTGCAGGTGTTTCCCTTATAACATTAGGGGTAGTAAATTACTGTTTTCTCTGAAGCTGTTTGGTGAAGCACGAGGAAATGTTTCTCTGCTTGGTAAATGCCAACAATTAAAGAGCTCTGCTTTGAAAAGTCAGGACCTTTTGTTTTAATTAACTCAAGCTAACAACATTAAGTCTGAAATTATTAATGAATACAGTGTAGCCTATATCTTTTTTTCTTTAATAGGACACTATATTGTAGCTAATTAGTTCCGAACAAGCAATCTGATTGGACGATCTGAGTGACGATAAAAGAGAACAGCATCACTGAGACTTTTCACAATAGCCTATGTATCCCTCCGCCTCAGCCAGGCGCGCTGAATACTTTAAGTTAACATTTACAGCAGTAGATGTTGTTGCTTTATGGTAACCATGGATACCAACAGAGTAGCAGGAGTGCAATAGCAGATTTGATAAATACTGGATCGTTCTTGGAAGCTCTCTGAGTAAAAACAATGATTTGAGGCTTTAAGGCATCTGTTTATAACTTTATGGTTTTAGTTTCGGATGCATTATGTTTAACTTTTTTTTTTTTGTAAAGATTTATTTACGGCTTTTGACTTCATTCTGACAGGAAAATGTGTAGCGTGAGTAGAGAGTTGGAAAGGAGCCGCAGGTCAGACTCAAACCCGGGCCGCACGATTGGAGGACTATGTTCTCCGTACACAGTGTGTGACCGAGCAGCAACCTCAGCCGGTGTTAAAAAATGAAGCCAATGCGGAAGTTCAAAAATCCTGCAGTTCATTGTGGATCCGCTTGAGGCTGACTCCAGAAGTCATTATACACCCAGTGGAAAAAAAAACTGTTTTTGACAGCTGAAATTAACATTTTCACAGCCTGGTACAGAAACAATATTGGTCTGATAAGTTGGCACAGCTGACATGAGGGTGAAGTGTTCTTAAGAGAGAAATGTTACGTGTGTGTGAGCTCATTGATAGGGCTTTCACACTTGCAGAAATTACCTGAAAAACTCCTCATAGTCTATCAGCAGTCCTCCTGAAATGATCTAGATATAGTCAGGAGTTAAGATGTGAAAACGACTTTAGACGTTGGCTTTGTTCATATTAAACTTTGGAAGTTCAAAACTAGATATTTAGATGCTCTTATCTCCATGGCGTCTGTCTCTGACCAAAGCAAAACCACACATCGAGAGAGAGAGAGAGAGAGAGAATCCCTGATGTAAAACAGCGGCGGGTCATAAGGCCATTTCGTTTTGCATCTTATTTCCCTTTTTGAATAAAACGGACGATGCAAATTCTTGTCCAGTTGACGCAAAAAGACTGGGATAGGAATTCTATTGTGCACGGTAATTCATTGAGACTCAGATCAGCGTCCAGTTTTATAAAGTCATGCAAACAAGCAGATACGTGATCGTGAATGTGTTAGGAACGACTGCAATCTCCTGGAGGTCGGTCTTTTATATTCACAAACTTTTCAGATCACGACTTCCACCATCAGGGGGCCAGAGGCTGGGGGACCCCCACAGTACCTGAGTGCATAAGACCTATAACATGGCGCACCCCGACATCCACACACTTACAGACCCGTCCAAACACTGGCAACACAAAACATCAACATGAACAGCCTGAAAACATGAAATGATGTTCTATATTATTGGAGAGACTAGAAGCAGAATAGAGGTGATTTCCATGTTTAGACTTCAGCACTGAGTGGACACACAGGTGAGGTGTGCTCAGGTGTGTGAAGAGCAAAGACACATTGTTGCTGTTGTGTATAAACTTACATTTAAGTATTTTAACACATTCATTTCATTTTAATTTCACTTAAAGATTTAGTTTTATTTGAAGTTGAAATATTTGTATAAATTATTTAAGTCATGGGTAAAATATAAAATTTTTAGTTTAAAAAAATGAATAAAATTAAAGCATCTCACGACCCCCCTCTTGGTGAAGAAAGTGAATTTTCTTTTTCACCTCCACTCTTCATCAAATACATTTTCATCAGTCTGCTCTTCTTCCTCAACCATTCGGATGCTAACCTTTACACCACCATGACATCGATAACTAATCTGGGAACCAGTTTTTCCCTTTTTAACCACTGTTTATGTTCCGACTGGCAACTTGTGGAGCTGATGTTAAAACAGACATGGCTGCATGTGCAGCAGACGTCTGTTAAAAGACTAAATATAGATCTTCATAAGACGACTGCAGGTGGTTTTAGAATTGCATCATGGCGGACAGCGTTACAAACAGTTTGCTCTCAAGGCTGCAGAAACTCCAGGAGTCGATACTCGATGCACCACCAGAGAAAAAAGAAGATACAAAAAGAAAAGTCCTGCAGTATCTCTAAATGGAGAATAATCGGAGGGAAGCTGAAGACTAGCTGAACGTCTTCTGATTTGTTAAATGTTTACATAGCGTGAATGCTAATTGCACGTAACCTGTTTATTTTCCAGTTGTGATGAAAATACATTTATCATGCAGCTGTACTAACGTCCTGATTGAGTCTGATAGTAGCTTCAAAATGTTTTTATTCCGTGCATTAATTCTCTCTTTCATCTACAGATTGAGTTCTGAAAACTGAAGCTGCACAGGAAGCCTCTCCATCAACCCTCCGCCTCCATGAGTCCGATGCTCCCCGTCTCTACAGACCGCTGAAAGCTCGACGTCCTCCGTCTGTTCATCCCCACTGAGCTTCCCTCTGCTTTCCTTTAACCGAACGACTCCTGCACCCGTCATGAATCCCTCTCCTAATCCACCTCCATATTCACCGTCGGACCCTCGTAACTCCCATGATCCATCTCCCCCAGCAACATTACCGTGTCCTCCAGTCATCCAGACGGGTCACAGCTCTGTGACAGAGTTAAACTGTCACTCGCCTCCGTGTGTTGCCCCCTCAGAAGAAGATGGAGGTCAAAACGCGGTACAAAACTCTGACCCCTCTGACTCTCAGCCGCCGGTCTCAGATCCAGTCTTCAGTTTTGCTTCCAGGCTTCACTCGTCCCCAGTATCCAACCCTTACCTGGCCCCCGTCACGCCCCCCTCCTACCAGGTCTCTGTCATCATCCCCTCCCCAGACCTCCGCCCGTCTCCCTGCCCTGAAGACTCCTGCCCGGACCTGGAGTGCTCCATCTGCTTCAGCAGTTCAACAACGTCTTCCGCTGTCCCAAGATGCTTCAGTGCAAGCACACGTTCTGCCTCGAGTGCCTGGCTCGCATCAACGTCAAGGCAGCTCAGCCCAACGCCATCCAGTGCCCGCTGTGCCGCGGCTTCACGCCCCTCCCCGACCTCGGCCTGCCCAAGCTGACCACCGACTCGGATGTGCTGTCTTACCTGCCGGCCGCCATGCAGCGAGTCTACAGCATCCGCTTCCTCCGAAACAAAGGGAAGCTGCAGGTGAAAAGGTGAGACCTCTGTCACACACGCTTTGCTTTCTTAGAATCACATCGTGCGGGAGATTTGCGTTTGAGTTTGTTTGCATGCAGACCTTGACCTTCCAGCTACCGCTAAAAGTGCATTTGAAGTCGCGGTTTGAACAGCGAGTGGGCGGAGTTATGTCACCCCCACCCTCTACCTAAACCTGAGTATCTCAAGTCTTTAGAGCGTGTCTGACGAGGAGAATCTCCTGCTGTGAGGTTCATGTGTGAAAGACAAATTCTGGAAACTATCAGGACCTGAAAGTCTTGAAATAGAAAATATCAGAAGTTCATGTGAGAGGAGCTACTCTCCATTGTAAAGAGACTTTTATGTCTCATTGGTAAAACTCCTGGTTAGATAAATACAATTAATAAATAAATGTTAGTTGCCTCCCTGATGAACGATGAGTCAGTGACCTTAAAAAAAATAGAAATATGGAATAAATCATGTCGCCTTACTGCGTTACTGTTCTCATCTGAATAAATAAATCAGCTGGCCTGCTAACCTACCTGCCTCAGCCAGCGTTGACTTCACAGCTGCTCCTTTGATTTCACATCTGATGACATCAGCCTTGTGTTTTCTGAGGTGGTTTGGAACGTTGGTTGTGCACATCCTCAAAAATGACCACTTTAACCACTAGGAGCAGTGTGGAGCTGTGTGGTGATGAGAACGGAAATGAAAACATTGGAAACACCGGAGAGCTGATACAACAATGGTGGGAAGTTTTGAAGAAAAGTTAATAGACCAAGTCTGCAACTACCTGCTCTATGATGTCATTGCTTTTGCATAGCAAAAAACACGCATGCCAAAATAGCTGACGGAGAGCTGAAGCTCCAAATGTAAATCAATTCAGAGGAACTTGGAGTAAAACGAGATGAACAGGTTTGATGCACTGCAGTAAATGTGATTAGATCTGGAGATGATTGTTTACAGTGTTACTGCAGCTCTGTTTTTATCAGAGCGTTCTCTGTTTCACTGTGAATCATTAACTGATCAAAGTCCACTTACTCATCACAGCTCATGTTTCTGCATGTGATGAAAGAAATCACTGCTTTAAATGTTCACTGACCCGATGACTCGATTCAGTTCAGAAAGCTTTATTGGCATGAATGTGACAACACTGATGACGAATATGATAACAAAGAAAACAATAATAGTAATAATCGACCGTTCAACAGTAACTTTAAGAATCAAGAGTGAAAATCGGATAAACATCTGGGAAAAAAAAGTTAGAATACAAAAAGTGTAAATTAATCGTTTTGAACTTGTTTTATTGTCTCTGTCCGTGTGTGTGTCTTCAGAGGTTGTCCTCTGGTTTTGACAGGGGCGGCTGTGGCTCAGTGGTAGAGTCGGTTGTCTCAGGGGTTCGATCCCCAGCTCCTGCAGCCCCATGTCCGATGTGTCCTTTGGCATGACACTTAAACCCAAGTTGCTTCCCCTGCTTCATCAGCTGCGTGTGAATGGTCACTTTACCCAGCAGCCTCTACCATCAGGGTGTGAATGTGTAGGTGTGACCTGCACTGTAAAAACACTTCTAGTCATAAAACCAGAAAAGAAATAAAAAAAAAAGCTCAGATCCATTTACAGGCTGTGATGGAATTTGCAGCTTTAATCTCAGGATTGTGTTTTTATTTCTCCCAGTACATAAGGGACCTTTTGTGTGTTGTGTTCAAACTCAGAGTTTACGTTTGTTATTTGAGGACACAGAGTATTCCTCCCTCCCAGTCTGCTATTTGATGATGTGAGGAAGTGGAGCTCCCTCTCTACCTGTAAGGTTTCACAGAGTTTGTCACTTTTAGACACTCTCTCAGACTCAAAGCTGATGCATTTAAAAAAAATTAAAAACTTCATTTCCTAAAACCTGAAATTTCTCGCGCTGATTTTGAGCTGAATGGTTGTCGGATAATAATTAGGAAACAAATGACCAGATTTGAACAGATTAATCATCAAGTTCACTCATTGATCGATCAATCGGTATAAACATGAATCTTTATCGTATGTAGATGAAGAGTTTTGGGTGATTCTTAAGACACACGTTGTGTATTTGTTTCCAGCAATGGATTCTAAAGATTTTCTGCTTCACGCTGGTAAAAGTGTTTCTAAATTTTATTTGACTGTTCAATCGATCGTAAAAAAAAAAAACCTGACTCAGATTTATCCTGGAGAATAAATGAAGAAGCTTCCCCTCTCTGTTTCTCTTTAAGGGCGGCTGACAATCATCGCCGTTGGGGTCAGAGGTCAGTGAACCGCTCTCTGGACGTGGGGCTTCCCAGCCCTCCTGCTGTGGAGCGCAGCGGCGAGCAGTCGGGCGGGCTCGTTGAAGCTCTGTTCAGACTGACGGGTCGGCCCGTGTGCCGAGCCTTCCTCCTGACGTCGGTGTTGATGATGATGGGGCTGCTGACTGGCATCATCATCTTCCTCTTAACCATGCAAAAAGTCAAGGAGTGACATCACTTCCTGTCTTTCTCCAACTGAAGGTAGGGTCTGAATCCATTTAACGAGCAACATCTGTTTCACTGCTGCGGCTTAAAGACAAGAACAGATCCAGATGTGAAATAAAAACCAGCGTTCAGGCTTTAAACTCTGTGACATCAGACATGGAGAGGAAGAGCCGCTCTGAAATCAACACTCTGAGAATCACGATGACTTTAACCTGCTTCATGACATCTAACTCAAAGATACAAACACGTCGTGTCGAGGTTTGAAAATATGAACTTTGAACTTGTTTTTTATCCCTTCAAATTGAGATTTCAGACAGGGACAAAGTATCCTGAAAACTGAGAAGAAATGGACTTTAAAATTCTCTGCAGGTCTCATCTTGAACTCAAAGCCTCAAATGATCAGCGAGCGGTTGACAGCAGAGCTTCCTGTTCAGTTTTATTGTTCAGAGTGAGAGCAGTGGACATAACAGCACTTACAATTCTTCCTAAATGTTCTTTAATTTCCTGCAGGTCCTTCTTAGTTCTGACAGCTTTCAGCACAAAACTAATCAGTCAGAGGTTACATTTTAAATTCAGTGATGTTCATGTTTCTGTAAAAAAAAAAAAAAAAAGTCACATAAGAGTCCGTTTCCTGTTAGTGAAGCTGCAGCTCTGCACGCAAACAAACACACACATGTAAACATGAGTCATGCAAATGAGCCGAGCGACGGCGTGACGCGAGCAGATTTTCATAAATGGTGGGACGCTGATATGTTACAGGTGGCTTCGTTGCAAAAGGGAAGCAACAACTTAACAAACACAGCTGGACTTGTTTATTACATAATCACATGATCCCAGTTGAAGGGGAGTTCTCATGTATTTAAACTCCGCCCTGTTTGTTCATGTTTCCTCGTGTAGATGACGAGCAGAGCGTCCGTTACAAGTTGTTGTTTTTCCACAAAGAAGCTCAGATTGTCATTTAAGAGTCTGACAACATTACATCAAAACATTCTTACAGAGTCAGACATTTTACATCTTAAAATGATTTTCTTCAACCACAAACGGACCTTAAATCTCTTCCTCTAAAAGCCACCAGACTCTTCGGCTCCTGATCTTCTACCGCCGTTAGTTTGTTTGTGTTGTTGTGTCACTTTTACATCTTCAATATGTCCGACTAAAATGATCAGTGTTTGTGATACATCACAGCATGAAAAATAACTAAAACAGCGGTCGACCAGCAGCTGTAATCTGCATTTTAAAAAACCTGTTTTTTATTCACTGTGAACAAAAAACACAAGAGTGGAACTTAAAGTCTGTTTCTGGTGTAAGAAAAGCATCTCACGCTGTGTGTGATGATGATGATGATGATGAAGAAAGAAAAACAGTCAGAGGAGCAACTTCTCACAGCATCATGTTGCAGCCTTTACAAGCTGTTTTAATGAATTATTCACGCTGACACCACCTACTGGATCATTTAAAAATGCTTTTTGTAACAATAAGTCACTCTGACACCAAAACGTGAACAGAAAGGGCTCAGGTTTAAAAAAAAAAATACAGGATTAACTGTGAACCTCTGCAGGTTTTGATAGTTGGAAAAGTAGAGTCCCGGTTATTTAGACTTTCAAAAGTTACATTTCGGTTAAAGGAAGAAGTTAAATATTTTAATCTGCTTTTTAAATGACTGTAGGCTGAATACTTTCTATTATCCTCGATTTTATAGAAAATATAAGTATGAATATTTAAAGAACGTGACTAAATGACAACTAAATATGTTCTTGGAGACATTATAGAGGGTTGATGTTTGAGATGAATTTGTGTTTGGTCAGTCAGGTTTGTCTTGAGAGCGTTCTGTCCGACAGCTCATCTGTGGCGCCCCCTGCTGGAGGCTGTGAGCCGTGTCCCCCCCCCCCCCCCCCCGAGTGCTGCACAGGTATCATGTACTGCGGGACCACCTGAGCCGAACCCTGTAACGTAACAAACTTACTGATGAGTTAACAGACCCATCAACAGATCAGAAACATGACACAGAATCAGAGGACTGCCCACAAGTGAAACTTCCTCAAACACTTTGACTGTCAAATGAGAGACGACCTTCAGCGTGCGGTCAGAGACTAGGCGTTTGACCCTGACGCTGCATGGCGATCTGTAACAGTTCTAATCTCATGTTCATCCTCCTGTTCTGTTTTTTAAACACTCACCTGTTTTAATGTGCAGTGTAAAATAAATAATTTTATATATTTATGTCATGTTTGTTTTAGCAAAGCTTGCACTATCACTATGTTTGCCTCTTGTTTAACTTGAATAAATTCTTTTTTTGAATCAATCCGTCTCTCTTTTTTTATTTTAAATGAAGCGGGACAAAGATTTAGAGGTCACATGTTATCCTCCTTTTCAACAAGTTTCAATCAGGTCGCACTCACATGAGGCATCGGGACCATGCCTAACAGAAAACACTTTTCAACATGACATGAAAATGGAAAACAATTAAAAAAGAGAAATAAAGGGGAAAAAAACAAAGATAAAATGTTAGAGTGGAGGGTCTTCCTTCTGCTGTGGTTGAAGGTAAAAGTGGTTTAATCCCAGCAAAGAGGTCTGTGTTTAGAGGACGTCCTGTTGAGATGTTTTGGAATAAATGTGTTTTCTATTAACGAGACACAAGAAGTAACACACTTAGCTCAAACAAAGCAGTGGATGAATTACAACCTCATGTTGGTCTAAAGTGGTCGGCGGTGTCAGAGGAATGAATGTGAGTGGATCTAAATACACAGTGAGAGAGTAGATCTGATGTGTACAGGTCAGTTATTCCAGTCAGCAGGAGCTTTAAACCGTAAAGGGATTTTTTTTAGCCGCTCGCTCCTTTTTGAACGTGAAGTTTATTTATCGAGCATCATTCATTCAGAGAGAACTTCAAAGTAGTGATGTACTCAAAATCCATCTTTTTGAATATTGGTCACAGAATCGAAAGCATTTTTACTCGGTCTCGTCTCGCTCTCAGACTGGGTGGACTCACAATTTAAAATCAAGACCACCACTAATCTGCTATTTCTCCACATCATCACTGAGATTAGAAGGAACGCTCATCTTTCTAAAAGAACAAATAACTTGAATTCATTTGGAGTTTAATTCTTATCCCCCCTGTTACGACTGGAACCTTCCTGTTTTTATGGTCTAAGTGAGTGACACGCCCCCTAAACACGAGGATGATTCTTCAGTGATATTTATTCTCTTAGTCTGGTCTCGGTCTCGCCCTGCCTTGGTCTTGGATTTGATTCGGACTCGATCCCTAAAGGTCTCGGCCTTTACTCGGTCTCAGAGCATTCTGGTCTTGGTTATTGTGGTCTTGTCTACAACACTTCAAAGTTCTTTAGAGTTTAAAACGGCACCATGAAGAGCGTCATTTAGAAGTAGACATAGAAAAGGTTTTATTTGACTCTGAAGAAGACAAAGTGAACAAACATTTACTTTTAAGTGAGTCGTGTGCTCCGGTTCTTTCTTTGGACCGAGTCTGAGAGGAGTCCACTGAACGTCTCCGTCCGTCTCTCAGAGCGTCGACCTCCATTAATGGAGCGGCTGATGGCAAGAGTTTCTTCTACTTTACTACAGATTAAAATAGTTCAAATGCGAGGAAAAGGTGATAGAATTATATAAAAAAGCAGTCATCGAGTCAGAGCTTGTTGTTAACAGAGGAGCCAGTAGGTGGAGCTGTAACATCAACAAAGCCAGTCCTTGTTATGACGGCAACAACACAGGAACACACGATGCAGAGGACAACCTCACCTTTCACATGTAATTTAAAATACTCCTTTTAAATGATCTGTTTGCTCTTCTGAGCTGCATGTGTTGACATTAAGAGCTCTACATCAGAGGTAGAATGAGGAATATATAGGATGAATATTCTGCAGATCTGTTGTTGTTTGTTTGTTTGTTGTTGAAAATGTTTCTGTCTTTGAACTCGTTGGTTAAAAGAAGTTTAAACTGAAAGAGCTGAACGAGATTAGATCAGATATACTTTAATGTCCCCAAAGGTAAACTTGTATTAGACTCTGTCCTGCAGTTAGGAGAAAATTAAAGGAGAGACTGAGACAAGACCACGACCATAAACATCAGTGAAAAATCTGAAAAAATGTGTGCAGTGGGCATGTCACTCACTTGGAAAGGTTGCGGCCGTACCTGGGGGATAAGAATCGACTAAAAACTCCAAATGAATTGAAGTAATTTGTTCTTTTAGAAAGAGGAGTTTTCCTTCTAATCACAGAAATGAATTGAACCTCTCAGTGGTCTTGACCGGTCTTAAAATCCAGAGTCCACCGAGACAGACCAGGTAAAAAACTGCTTTAGATTCTGAGATGATACAGAGACCTTCAAAAAGTGGTCTTGAGATTTTGAGTCCTACAACGCGATTAAATGCTGAAAGTCAGAGTGATGAATGTGGGTCAGGTCAGACACTATGTCCTGTGTCTGTCTGACAAAAGACTTTTCATTGAGTGATCTTCATAGCAGTCTGCATAAGACGAGTTCTCTGTGACCACAGCACGCTGTTATCTCATATCTGATGATGCTTTCAAAGACTGCCGTGTAAAACAGTAACACTCTCAACATCCTGAATACGTCTTACCAGAGAAGATTTTAACGTTTGTTTACGGCAGACAGGAGCTCAAAACAAATGTCAACAAGGAGAAGAGTACAAAAGTTACACCAAAATTAAAAAAAAACGAGATCTAATGTACCCGAGACGAACACAGGTTGTTCCTCTTTAAGAAACAATCTCGTTAAAACAGTTCCATTGTTTCTTTTTTTTAAGTATTTATAAGTTAAGTAGTCATCTCGCGTCAATGTTACACTTGTCCAGCAGATTGTTTCAACAGTTTCCACTCCACACCATGGCGTCTAACGAACACACGGGTGTGATTTTGCTGTAGTAACAGTGTGTGTGTGTGTGTGTGTGTGTTACTTTGCCTTTGAAACCCGTGGACACACCTTGACAACGCAGTCAGCGATCAAACAATCCTGTCTCCATGGTCACCACCCGCTGAGACAGTTTCATGAATCTCACCTATTGAAGAAGTTCACCTCCTGCTCAGATCCGTCAGCCAGGGAGGAAATCTTTCCGTAACACGACACACAAAATCAAAGTCTCTTGCCTCTTGACAAACGGTAACATGGCGCCCGTCTGTCAGTGAGGTCAGGGGACACTTGACAAACTGCAGGATTTTGCACTTCAGCATCGGCTTAATTTTTCTACACCGGAGGTTTCTGCTTGATTCACACATGCAGCTCACCCTGAAGGTGTGAAAACACCAAAAGATTCTTGATAAGAACACACACTTGCATCTCTTTTTAGAGGGCTTGAAGGGTTAATGTTTTTGGGCCATATTGAGATGTTACAATAGATGACCCGGCAAACACAGATTAATTGAAAGTTGTTGGTCACATCCTTTGTTTTCTACATAGAAGAAAACTGATGCAGCTTGTGGGAGGCGCTGAACAACAGAGCTCTGTTAATCCTGGCTCAGAGTTCAGTATAATCGGGACGTTTTGAGGTCTGCTCCCTCCTTCTCTACAATCATAGGGGAGTCCCCGACTCGAGGCTGCTCAGAACCGATTATCTACCCAAAATATTGTGTAGTATGTATCGTATAACGATCCAACGTTAACCTCCAGGATTCGATTTTTAGGATTTAACATTTTGAGTGTTACATCATGAAAGTGTCTGGAGGAAGTCTTGTGTGAGTACAATAACGTGGAGAGACAAGGGAGGACAGTTATAGGTGGACAGTAGTGGCGACCGGTGGCAGGACACATGGGTGCGTTGGACAGACCTCCAGCTCTCACTGAAGAACAGAAAAACACAAAACTTTTTACGTAAAAAAACAAAACAAAACCATGTTTTTCCACCCTGCACAAAACATTAAAATAGTCAATTTTGGCTCGGCTCTTTTGTAGTGTGAGCATGTTTGAGATTATGAAGAAGAATATCTGAAAGGATCACACACACCAGGATTATTTTATCGGATAGCCAGGCTTTCCTGTGACATGGAGAAGAATAAGATTACATTTCAGTTTTTAACCATGTGAGTGAGAACATCAGATCTGGAGGATGACATTAATCACAGCCAACTGGATTCATGTTTTTGTACCACAGCAAGCAGCGTTTCTTCCTGACTTTTCTGCCAGGTATTTCTAGGCAAGGTGAGTTTACCTTCAGTGAAGTTTGCCTACTGTGTATTGAATTCTATTAAGTAGAATATGGAATTGTTCCTGTCGATGAAACCTGTTATCAGGAGAACTGATTCCCACTGCACACTTCACATCCTTTTTCTGTCAGCGTTAGAGGACAGAGGGGAGGTTTCTTTAGTTTGTTGACCTCATTCAAAACAATTTCAAGAGTCTTTCCAGGAGACACACACACACACACACACACACACACGTTTTGTCGGTGTGATAGAGGGCTTATTGTTGGAGCAGGAGAAAACATCAACATGGTCTCATGATGCTTTGCCAGTTTCCCAGGATTCCTTTCTCTGTGTGGGCACATAGGATGACAGAGTCTGAACAAACTGTTATTGGAAAGTTACTCAGTCTGGTTCTGGAGGTCGCTGTGGATCAGGAGGAAGAGAGGGTCGTTGTGGATCAGGAGGTAGAGAGGGTCACTGTGGATCAGGAGGTAGAGAGGGTCACTGTGGATCAGGAGGAAGAGAGGGTCACTGTGGATCAGGAGGTAGAGAGGGTCACTGTGGATCAGGAGGTAGAGAGGGTCACTGTGGATCAGGAGGAAGAGAGGGTCACTGTGGATCAGGAGGAAGAGAGGGTCACTGTGGATCAGGAAGTAGAGAGGGTCACTGTGGATCAGGAGGTAGAGAGGGTCACTGTGGATCAGGAGGTAGAGAGGGTCACTGTGGATCAGGAGGAAGAGAGGGTCACTGTGGATCAGGAAGTAGAGAGGGTCACTGTGGATCAGGAGGGTCACTGTGGATCAGGAGGTAGAGAGGGTCACTGTGGATCAGGAGGTAGAGAGGGTCACTGTGGATCAGGAGGTAGAGAGGGTCACTGTGGATCAGGAGGTAGAGAGGGTCACTGTGGATCAGGATCATTTTTTTTGTTGTTTTTAGGGGCCCTGTTACTTTTGTAAACAACTTTGTAACTTTGTTTTGAAAGTAGCTGAATAAATAAAGAAATAATTATTTTTGTTTTCATAAAAATGTCCTCAGGGAAACCTAAAGGGTGTGTGTGTGTGTGTGTGTGTGTGTGTGTGTGTGTGTGTGTTGATGTAATATGATGCATTATTAACTCTCACATTTTGGTGAAATAGGAAGTTGGAGAAATCCTGGAATGTCCAGCTGACACACACACACACACACACACACACACACACACACACACACACACACACACACACACACACACACACACACACACACACACACACACACACACACGCAATATCTGACCGTCATATTTGATTTCCACGTTAGCTGGTCACAATGCTCTGAGTCAGCTGATGAGACATTTCACGGTAAGCTCAGAGATTGTTCTCAGTCAGAGGTCAGAGGTGTTCTGAGCTGACATCATCAACCTGCTGTTACCTGAGATTTTAACCACAGAATCTTTAATGTGAGGTCAACAGAAGACAATTGGTTGTAAGGAGTGAAATAACTTCCTATTTCAACAACATAAACATTTTAAAAGTGAGTTTTTGTTCCATGTTCTTTTTTTTTTTTACTTTTTGTTAATCACATTTCTAACATATCCTTTGTTTATAATTTGCAACAATTTTCATCTGTTTTCAAAACTGACTTTAGTATATAGAAGTCTTGATTTTTGTCCAGAGCTTTTATGTGAGCTGTGTGTCTGATCACAGCTGCTGTTACTGTAATTTCCTGCAAAAGAAGAATAAAGTCCTTCCATCTTTACATCCATCCATCTGTCAGTCAATCTGTCCGTCCATCCTTTTTAAAGCACTTTAAGTATGGTAAATAAATGTTATAATGATTATTAAACATGAGAAAGGGATTACTAAAAGCATCCCACAAAATTCAGCTTATGATTTTGTCTCATCATCGTTGTCTGAAAAACAGATAAATGTAAAAGTGAATTAATTTTATTAGTATTTAGGACTTTAAAAACAGGACTTAAGATTATTTGACACACATCTCCTTTTGTTTATTAGTTAGTCTGGTTTCTGATGTGTATCCTAAACTTTTCACGCTGCCGTCTCGTGTGCCCATCTCTGGTTTAGGAAGGTCCTGAGGTACGTCACACCTGCTGGGACCTAGATGAGTCCACATGGACTGAGCTCCTGTCCTAGAGTTTCCAGGTGGGCCGGGGTATGAGGCCGAGGTCTCCGGGTCTGTAGCGGGCCAACAGGAACAGAGGATCTGTGGCCAGCTTCAAGGTCTCCGCTCTATGGAGGACAGTAACACTTAACTCCTCCCCTTTTCTTCAAAGAGGATTTGAGATTTCTAACTTTTAGAGACAGGGGAGAAAGCGCTGGCTGTGCGCACTGGAGCATTTGGATAAAACACACCAGAGCGCACAGCCAGCTGAGAAAAAACCACTTTATGTTTTATATTTGAGATGGTTTTTTGCGTCACTATGAGCATCAAACTGAGGATCTTTGTCCTCCTACTGTGTCTGGACACGGAGGGAAGAGGATCTGTAGGAGACAAAAATATGCGAAATATCGTATATTTGGAAAAGAGCGCCGGTGACGTCATCAGAACCTTTCTGAAGAGTTTAAAGATTTACAACTGGAAGCGCTCAAAGCAGCTGGACAAAAAAGGGGGAGGGCTCGGAAAAAAAGACCCTGGGCGCTGCGCTTTTAACTCCAAGTGGCCGTCTGCGGCTGCAAACGCTCTCTACTCATTGAAAACAAAACAAGAGCCTGGTCAGAAAAAAAACCTAATGGTAAATAAAAGAAATCTAAATGTGTCTCTTTATCCTTTTAGCCCTCAATGTTAAATAGTGTATCAATAAGTGAATGAATCATTGAGTTGTGGTTAAATGAAACTCTTCGAGTCTTATTGGAACCTCTCTGGGATATTGTGTTAAAAAAATGGGATGGAAAAGCGAACAACCTGAAAAAGTGAGACAGCTGTTGTTGGAGAGGACGCATGAAAAGGATGATTAGTAACTCCATGAATGACTCTCTGCAGTCGGTGGTATTTTCACTTTCCTGCTGTGACTAACAGAGGAAGGTTTTCATCATGACTTTAGAAACGTACAGACGAGACCCGGTGCGGAGGGATTGGAGTACCTGGCTGGTTCAGGGTCAGTGGTCTGCGGTTTACGTCCTCCACTTCTCGTCTCAATCGAGTCTCTGAGGGCGGAGTCTGTCACCGGGGGGGAGTTTCCTTCCAGGACGTCCTGCAGCTTCAGACACAGCTGAGTCTCTGCTGCCTGCTCCGAGTCCTTCAGAGGACAGAAAACACCACAGCATCCACCGTAAGGAACCATCTCATTGGCTGAGGAGGACCTTAAATGGGTGGAGCCTCATAACAACATTTTCCATAGTAAGTGAGATGCCAAAGCAAATGTAATTGATTTCACTGTATTAATTAATCCTATTCCTAAGCAGCGCTCACAGCCTCAACGTGCTTCTCATTGGTGCTCACTGTTGCTAGGATACGGAGGTCGGCTCACTGCACTTCTGCTTCCCTCTGTCGTGACCGTCTTACTGTTTTAAATGTCTCCGTATGTTTAATATTTGATTTTAATTTAAAGGGAACTCCACCAAGAAAACCAAAACGATGTAAATGAAACGTGTCCTGGCATCAGCAGCAGCTCTTTGATTAGTTTCTCTTCAACCCCTGTTTTTGAGAAAGTTGATATGAGAAGTCCTGCGCCTTCTTCATTGTGATTGGTCGTTCATGGAGTAGAAACATTGACCAGTGTGACAAAGCTCCAACAGTTGAACGTTGTGAACGCATTGTCAAAAAACTGCAGACTTCTGTGTCCCAGTCTTCCGAACATTTTGTGATCAGGTTTGAGTGTTGTTACCGTCAGGATGTGTCTGAGGATGACGACTGCTTCCTTCATGTCGACCTCCAGCTGCTCCCCTCTTCTCCTCTCCCTCTGTAGCTCCGCCTCCAGCTGAACCGCCATCGCTGCCATCTGACGGCGCTCCTCTGATGCTGAGGCCAAACATTTCCTTAAACAGCGCGACAAACATGAACACTTTAAAAAGGTTGTCAGTAGGACGGCGCTGAGTTCAGTGACTGCAGATCAAGAGGTCTCTGGTTCAATCAAAGCTCCTCTCAGTGTTGTTTACGTCTAAGATCAAACTGTCTGTTCACTGTCACGCACAGTGGTGTCAAACGTAGGTTTCTGTTGTCACTTGTCAGCATGAAGTGTAGCGTCAGCATCAGATACTTCATCTCAGATTGTTAAATATGGACGCTTTTGTTACAGTGTTTCATGCACACGAGGCAACGTCTTTAGATCTCCTGTCTCAAGGTTATGATGTCATAAAACCATCGAGGTGAGGGTAAAATCAATTCAGCATAGTATTGTGATATTAAGTTTGGCAATATTATCTCGTCTCATGGACGCCAAGAATTTATATTTTTATTATTATTTATAGCAAGCAAACATGCTTTTTTAATTACTGAAGGGGTTATTCATTTTGATCAAGTTGCATTGTAAAAATTCATGTTCAAGTTCGATGAGACTGAAAAACCAACACTTCAGATTGTGACGTGCATACAGCATTTTACACGGTTTTACTTTCAGGTTCAGGTTACTTTATTCTGTCTGAGGAAATTGGCCCGTTTTCACAATGACAAAATCATGATGACCTTTTTTTGTTTTTATATTGTGTGTAACAGTGTGTCCTTATAGCATGTGACGCCATCCAGGCTGGATTCCTTTGGCAAAGCAGCACGACGCGACGGGCTGTTTTTACCTGAACGCCCCGTTTCCGTTTTTCTTTCTGTCGCTTGCACAGACGTGGTCGAGTAACAAGAGAGCTGGACAAAGCGCTGGGAGTGTCCTACAGGAGAATGTACTGGATCCTCTTCTCCTCTCTGTCCTCACTCAACAGAGCTTGTTAGCTTGTTCTGCAGAGTTGAGGAGACGGTGGATTCATCATATCTATGTCTGTGGCTAAAATGTTTTGCTGTGACTTGTGTTAACACAGAGGAATAACTTTATCTGGCCCACCGTTCAAAGGGTCGTCAATACAAAGCACCATACTTCTGTTTGTCCACCTCCTAAATAAAGGCTCTAGATGTCACACTGTTTACGAGGGTTAACAGCGAGCGTCAGTGATGCAAAGCGATACGTTACACTCACAGGCTGTTAGAAGACGCCGTCACAGATCTTCAGTCTTAAACGACCTTTAAGTGTGGTCAGCAGGAACAGATGAAACGTCTACCTGAGATCCTCAATCTGAGGCAGCCTGACCTCCGTGATGAGGCTGTAATCCTCCATCTTCAACTTCAGCTGCTGGCACACCTCCGTCAGCCGCTCGGCTGTCTGAAGAAAGATGCAGATTGATTTTGGTGATTTTTATGAGCTGAATAAAAAGAGGTGAAGCTGATGAAGGCTCTATCTCTAACAGTGTGTGTTTATTAGCTGAACAATCAGCTGAGGATGAGGAAGCCTCCTTTGCAAACCTAAAGAAGCGAACATGTCCGACAAGACTTCATATGAACTTGGCTGCATGACTCGTGTATCTGCATCTTTAGATTTACATTTCACTGTTAATAAATGAATAAGCAAACAAAAACCAATAAATAACTTAGTGACACAGTTAGGCTCTGTGTCCACCGAGCGTTTTTTCCAGGCAGTAAAGCGCTGGCTGTGTGCTCGCAAGTGCTCGCATAAAGAACTTTGTGCCCTGAGAAAAAAAAAGCTGCACGTCTGTCCGACATGTGCATGACCGACACTGCTCCGTTACTTTTTACTGCATGTTTAATATTTGAGATCTATTATTTCCCGATCAGACACGGAGCGAGGACGATTTCAGTACAAGACATGATCTGTATTTGGCAAAACTTCGGGGAATATCAAACATTTGGAAAAGAGCGCCGGTGACGTCAATAACGCCTTTCTGAAAAGTTGAAAGATTTTTAACTTGAGCGCTCAGATCGGCCGCACAAAAAATGCTTCATGTAAACATGTCGATCAGAACAGACTGATCCGATCAGGCTCATTCAGAAAAAAATGTCATTCCGATCGAGAGGTGTGGTTTATGTCGATCGTTGTTCGGATCAGGATCCATGTACACGCTCCATCTGATCGTGTCTGCTTGACCGGGGTAAAATGATCCTTACTGCGCAATCTGCCCCACATAAAGTGACCTGTTTCTGTTTTTGTCATACTGGAATTCAAAAACAAACATAGCGGGAGCAAAACAAAACAGGTCTGTAGCCGAAACAACTGCTTTGCTTGAAACTTTAAAGGAACTGAGGATTGTAGAAAGGCTTGACGGTCAAAAGGCCAGTGTTAGGTGGGGGTTATTTCTGTAGTAGATGGACAATTATGAAATCGTGAAACAGACTGTGGATCATCTTAGATTTATTCAGCCATGGTCAGACAACACAGAAACACAACACACATGACTGACAAAGTGCAGACCATCGCTGACCCATGCTGATCTACATCTCACAATCATTGACAATCATTGGCAAAGTGGCCATCATGGGCAAAATGGCAAAATGGCAAAGTCTTCATCACACAGTGTTGCTTGTATTCTGCTAGAAGGTACATGACACTGATTAGTTTACGTAACAGATGTAGTCAACAGTTGTTGACAACATATAGTTGGCTCCTATCCATTTATAGATCTGCTACTACTTAGGTGCTTCACCCATATAAGGTTACAGCTTCACAGACCCAAAAGTAGAATTACTGTGAGATGGTTGACACAATTTAAAGATATGTCCACAAAATTATCAAGATGAATGAATCCATGAAAATACGTACTAACAGCCAGAAATAACAAAGTAAAAACTGTTCACAAACACAAACACAGGCGGAAATGTCAGCTTCTTCTGCACCAGTCTGCGCATGTCAGAACGGTTTTATTCCGATTAAATGCCGATGCATGAACACGCACGGCATAATCCGATCATTTTATTTAGCGTCCATGTAAACGGTGAATTGGAATCAGAATGATTTCAATCAGACATGTAAACGTAGACAGTGAACAGGGATAGAGCTCAGTCTGCAGAAGGTCTCAACTTTAAATCCAGATATTCCCTTACAGTTCTATAGACATTATTGAACAGCTGTTTTCTTACCTTCTCATTGGTGGAGATGTCCCGCTCAATCCTCACAGCGGCTTCATTCATGTCGTCTATCTGTAATCCGATATGTGTCTCGTGGCTTTGCAGGCGGTCTCTCTCCTCCAGCAGAGCGTTGATCTCGTCCATTATCACCTGCAGCTGCTGCATCCGCTCGCTGTGCAGAGCCTTCTCCTCCTGAATGATTTCTGAGGTCTTCCTCTCCAACCTATCGTTCAACGCCGTACTTGTCTTCTCTAACAATCTGTGGTTGGTAGACAGAGGGAGGGGAGGTGAAACACTTGACAGCAGGAATTATTTCCCTGCAGATATTACGCCGGCCGCCACACGTCACCTGTTCGTCTCAGTCTTTTCTTCTGATCTCAGGATCCCGATGGCAGCGTCATGCTCCGTCTTCTCTTTAAACGGCTGCTGCTCCAGAGACTCCAGGTCATACAGCTGCTCACTGAGCTGTTTCCTGAGCTGCTCCTTCTGCTCCTTTTGCTCCTCAATCTGTGCAGCTGATAGAGGAGAGGAGAGGAGAGGAGAGGAGAGGAGAGGGTGCCTATCACAATTCATATCTTTTTTGTAACTATTTGCAGATTGCTCAAATGTTTATAAACGCGTTAATCAAAGATAGTTCACTTTCTTAAAGATATCTTTTCGGGATTGCCTTTATTCGATAGTGGCTAGAGTAGGAAACAGAGAGAGGCGACCTAACCGCTAGGCCATCTGCGCCCCCAAAGACACATAATTAAATACTATGACTACTAAGTCGCAGAATAATGTTTTTGGAGCTAAGGGTACATTTTAATATTCGGTTAGTATGTATATTAATCACGCTTTATTCTCTAACGTTTTTAGTCTTTGTAACGTACAACTTTAATTGGCTCATCTTAATTTCATGTTACTGTTTTTGACAATATTCACCAGCAATACGCTAACAAACAATCCTATAAGATAACTCTCGCCCTGAAAAGTTAGGCTCCATATTTAGAAATAACATCAGATGATCCGCGTATGAGGCGGCTAGCAGCTGCAGATCAATATTGAAACGAAGGCATCAGAGGGCAGGAGACGCTTTAGTTTAACATGAGCATGTGCACCTCATACATTTACAGCAGGGCCATACGGACAGCAGGCGTCTCACTATTTCTCTCGCTCGCGATCTCTTTCTCTCTTGTGTGTGCAGCAATTTTGTGAATTAATAAAAAAGTTGAAAATATACTTATGCAGCCATAAATAGACCTGGGATGTCCGCCTGAGTATTGTCTATGTGTGGGGAAACATGTGGTGAAAAATGTGATTGGTTATTGATTTGAAATGTATTTGTTGCATTAGAAATGTTAATTTTGCAAATAATTAAATAAGGCTCCAGCAAAAGTTCAGACAAAAAGACCATAATTATTTGCATGCTGACTGAACTATTCATCTCTCATGCTGTGTTGCGTTCACTTCACATTCTCAATCCTTATTTTCCTGTAGTCATGAACTTTTCTCATCACCTGGTCACAACTAACCAATAGGTCTGCTCCACTCCCTCTTGAACATCCCTGCCAATACGTCTTAGTCGGATTGGAAAGTTGAAATATTAAAAATCACCTAACCTCCAAAAGCGTAATGATCTATGATAAAAATGCAGATAATGAGCTGCAGGTTTTTAACAAGTTGCGTTGCTGCATGCATGTTGGCTCACCCTGCCTCCTGGTCTCTGAGGTCAGAATGTCCACCTGCTCCTTTAGCTCTTCTATCTGCAGGCTCTGCTGCAGCTTCAGGTCCTTCAGGAACTGTTCTGCAACCTGCTGCTGATTCTCCAGCTTCTCAGCAAGCTCGCCCACCTTCCGCTTCCTTTCAATCCGGGAGTGTTTCAGGAACTCCGAGATGTCGTACTTGTCCTCCTTCAGCGCTTTGCTCTGCGAGATCAGGCTCACGTTGTGCTTCTCGAACTCGTCACATTTCCGCTGACACCTGCAGGACGGAAAACAAATCAAGAGGACCATGTTAGTTCTAAGGTTATTTTTATGTAACAATGTGAGTTAAATATAAATACAGCATTTGAATTAGACACATCTGCTTTTCATCTAACCTAACTTTTAAAATGATATACTCGCTTTTCTAATGTTTTACAGTAAATAAAAATGAAGTTTTCAGAAAACAATAACAAAACAATGAAAACATGTAGGCATATACCTGATGGTTTATACTATAAGTACTATTTACTATAGGTTTAGCAGAAGTCGCTTAAATTGTTTATTACACTTAAAACATTATTTTTTATAGCTATGGCAATACATTGATTCATTCGTATTTGTGGTTTCGAACAATTTTTTCCGCCTTTCCCTCTGGGCTCCCGTAGTTCACATCCTCATGTAATTCCCAGTATGACAGTTATATAACAATATAACATATTATGACATAATAATAATTATTTAAAAAAAGTGTAATAATAATAATAATAATAATAATAATCAAATAGGCATTCGCTGTGACACTTTTCGTATTCAACATCTGTGGTAACTGCTATTTCCACACCTGCATTCGGACGAGAGTCACCAGGTAACACGGTCACGTATTACAACGTAACACCGGCTAACGTTATGCCACTAGTTACGCAAATAAAGAAAGTGGCATGTTGACATTGTTTGCCTAAATACACAAGGCAGAATACTAACGCTTACATTAACAGTTGACATCAAATATATATATTTAAAGAAATCGTTGAGGATCTATTTTACCCCTCCAGCGTCTTGTCCAAATATTGAATTTGTGTTAAATATAAGGATGTCTCTCTCTCGTCTGCACTGTTTGTATCCTCCATCTCGATGTGTTCGTGTTTTCCTGTATGTTGTTTTTCTCCAAACGTTTTGCAGCCTCGGCGTTTAAACACTTTGTTGATGTATTTTTGTATTAAAGTTTACGGCACTTTAATTTAACTGACGTTGTTGCTAGGAGATGCTGCGTTCAGGGAATGCTCGGAAGGTTGCGCCTATTCAAAAGTAAACTGACAATCAGCTGTCAGTGCTGTTACCATTATTGTTACTTTCATCATTATTATAATCTCTTTTTAATCAAGTAGTTTATTAAAATATTTTCACACGATTAATTACTTTAGAGTTTCATTTTTAATGTATCAAAGGTAGAGTAAGTAGCATTTCCCACCTGAAAAACAGGGAAAAAAACATCTGCCAGTGGATTCCACTATCTCTTCAGTTAGCTCTCTTTCTGGTAGGTAAAGCCCGCCTCCTACTTGATTTGATTGGCTGATAGGCCAAAAGTGACATTGACGAGTGACATATAGTGATATATATATTTCATGCACGTCCAAAAACTTTGCAGAGACCCTGTCCACTGACTATAATTTGGATGTTTTGGTTGACTCAGGGCGTTTCTGGTTTCCCCCAGCCAATGACAGCGTGCAGGTGAGTTTGGGAGTGGATACATTTCAGCAACTGTTTCCATTTAGACCGGTGAATATGGCAGGTGTGGACGAAACTCCAAGCAGTTTACGTTCGCTTACCAAAACGGCAAACCTTTGGTGTTTTAGTCTGAATCAGTTCGCTCATTCATTTCTTCCCTGTGGATTGCTTAGTCATATTACACACACACACACACACACACACACACACACACACACACACACACACACACACACACACACACAACCAACCCACAGCTCTATTAATACCTGTTCATTAAAGACTAAGGTGTTCCCTCAGTGTGTGGCTGCCTGATGTGTATTTCTGTAATCACTGTGTTTAACCCAAACACACACACACACACACACACACACACACACACACACACACACACACACACAACCTCACAAACAAAGGTAACATTAAATACTTACGTGTAAGTATACTTAGCTCACGTGGTAGTTTTTAACTATGACACAGACTAAAATAATCTCTGATGTCTTTTTATGACCTAAAAAACAAACCAGACCGTCAGTAAGACAGGAGGATTGTGTCAGCAGACCTGCTGGATGGGAGTGCCCACGTGAGGTGAGGAAAGGACAGGTCGGACGAGGTGATAAGCTGCACGCTGCAGAAACAGACTCTGTTTACATTTTCAGCAGTGAGAATAAGATATCCTCTGAATTAAATCCTAAAATTACCTCACTCTCTCATCAGACATTAAGTAAACATGCTATGTTGAAGTGCTTCTCTGACAACAATGCAGCAGCCAGTATGTCCTCCTTCTAACTTTAGATTCTGCTCCTGTATTTTTAACTTCTGAACGTGAAACGTTTGGTAACCGACCCGACTGAGAGTTGAACCTGAGTTCACAGAGCTCAGCATGAACTTGCTGTGTGAGGATACCTTCAGGTACAATCAGTCATCTTCATAACTGAGGTTTCTCCTCTGCACACTGTCATAACCTGTGTGCTGTCCTGCACGCTATACCTCCACCTCCCACAAATATTCAGCTCGCCTGAGGCCGCCTTACTGTACCTCGGCTGTCTCTGTATTGCCGTCTGTTTTCCTTGGATGTATTTATGTCCTCCATCTGCATCCGCCCAGTCGAGTTAAGCCCGGGAGGATGATTCCTCTAAAACAGGAATAATGTGCCTTTGCACGAAAAGTGAGAGAAATATGTCTCCCTCAGTAGGAAGGGGTTGGACAGAGGGAGACTCGCGCTGGAAGACAAAAGCAGTTTGTGGTGAAAAATGTGGGTGTGGAGAATGAGCAGGCAGATGAGTGGAGACAAACGACTCCCAAAAATACCATTTCATTGAAGCAAAACCCAAATGTTAATCCTGAGATGATCCAAAGCTGCTTTCAGGGACCATTTTCATGCAAAGATCAAAGAAAACCTGTTTCCAGTTCCTGCTTGTCTCATATTGATGTTTGTTCTGCACTTTTTTCAAGTGTTTTATATCTTCTAGATCCTGACATGTTTACCTCCTAAGTGTGGAACAAAAGAACAAACAAGTACACATCAGCTACTGAATACATAGTCAACAAATGAGAGACAACAATAGAAAAAAATCATCAACGAATACCATCAAAAGATATCAAACATTAACCTCGAGGAGCCAAAAGACTTTCAGTGTTTTATCAAAATGGATAATAGAACGGGTTTTTTTTAGGGCGATGCTGATCACATTTCCAAAAAAAATATGAAATTTAAAATGTCAAGTAGAAGTACAAGAATGACTTGTTGACGGGGGTGATTGGCAGAGGTGTTTAGGATGGAAGGATTTCCCTGATTAGACTTGTGTTGCATCATGAGTATGACTTGTTTGCCTTTTTCTCCAGAGAAAAGTCTGCTGCAGCTCCTGCAACTGTTGGATCATTTAATAGACTTCTGAGGGCAGAAAACAAAACCTTAAATGTTTTTAGTCCCAACAGCACAAGCAGGGGTGATTGTCGTGGTTGCAGCAACAGATCAACAGAAGCTGAAAAAAGAGCGAGATGTGCTGCAGGCTGCAAACAGAGCAGGGAGGAGACACGCATCAAAATAGTTCTCCAAACGTTGCTTTTATCTTAGCTGCATGCAAATCTGTCAGCTGTTTGTTTCCTGGTCGTCATGGCAGATTATAATTAAACTTGCACACACAGCAAATATCTGATTTAACACATCAAATAGTCTCAAATATGAGCTCCTTCTGTTGTCAGATTGTGATATCTGCCTGATGATGCAGGGATAAGAGAGGGAGAATTTCACTCAACAAGAATTAAAAAAATAGTCAAAAATAATCAATATAGTCCAAAAATTGACTGATTGAATATTAATATGGTCAGTAGGGGTTGCACAGACTTGTTGACTTTACAGCTGTGTGATGACCCTTATGCCTGATGTCGACGACTCACTTATCAGGATAGAAAACCTAAAACTGTGACTGAGCAGGACGATGACAGTGAGGAGGCAAACACACTTTGTTTACATGATTTTTTCTCATTTCCAAGTGTGATTCCTAACTGGAGCAAATAGGTGAGAAAGCAAAGGTCAAGTAGTTTCATTTTTCTCAGTAGGTGAAAAACCCTCTTTTTTTCACTTTTAAACAAAAAAATATTTATTTTTTGGGCTTTAAATGGAGAGATAGGACAGTGGATAGAGTTGGAAATCAGGGAGAGAGAGGAGGGAATGACATGCAGGAAAGGAGCCACAGGTCGGATTTGAACCTGGGCCGTCCGCTTGGAAGACTATAGCATCCATACATGGGGCGCGCGCACTACCCAATGCACCACCAGCGCCCCTTCTCTTCACTTCTGTGAAAAATTGCTTCACCTCGTTTTATTTGTGGGAATTTTCATTCATGTGCTCTTAAAGTGCAGCGGGGGGAATCCACCTTTCATCCACTGTAGTCTGTTTGCTCGCTGGCTGTCAGACGTTCATTAAACACTAAGGAAACCCAACCCCTCATGTGCATCTAATGCTCTTCTTATTGTCCCAATTCAATGCAATTTTCTCACGACGTGCCTTATACGATGTGGTCATGTCAGTGATGTTTAACACATAAAGAAACAGAAGGTTGCAACAGCTGCAATGAAGTATGCAACAATAACACGTGTGCTGCAACTTCCATAGAAGGGAGTGCAAAGAGAAAAAGTCAGACGTGGGAAACACTTGCCTCCTCACTGTCATAGTCCTGCTCAGTCGCAGTTTAAGGTTTTCTATCCTGATAATTGAGTGGTCGACATCAGGCATTAAGGTCATCACACAGCTGTAAAATCAGTCTGTGCAACCCCTACTGACCATATTAATATTCAGTAAGTCAATTTTGGGGACTATTTTGACGTTACTGGATGTTTTTTCTCCAACTCTGCAGAGGTAATTTCTGCTCATCATTCATCGGTTGTCATGCCAACATGACAAACACATGAAGTCATCCTCCAACACACTCATTTTTACGCCCCACCTGCAGCTGTAATTATCATCATTAGACTCCAGATTAGTTGCTATGCTTTGAGAATGTCTTTCCTCCTTTGACAGCAAAATTACAGTCCCAATCACCAATCTGTTTTTAGACAGCAATTACTGACTCTAATGAGATTTCACATATTTAAATATTATGAAGTCTGAACACGTGAAGCCGTCTCAGGTCAGGCAATGAACACTAACGTCAGGTGAGAGGAATCTCTCTCTTATTAGTCTTAAGTGCACTAAGACAACTCTCTATTCTTTTTAAACAAGGGCTATTTTTGGTGTGCATGCGTCCAACAGAGTCTCTGAGAAACACACTGATGTCAAACATAAGCCGTATAAAGTTTCACTGGCATGCAGCGTGAACAAAAGGGTGACATTACCGCTTGGCGAATACAATCCACTGACGTACTTTGCGTTGTTTCAGCGGAGGGTTTGAGAGTGTGAACACCACACTGTGTTCTTAATAGAGTTTAGAATTTAACAATAGAAGCTTAATCAAAGAAAACAGAGCCTCAGTGGAAGCATTTCATTTTGTCAGTGTGAGCCAGAAGGAGCTTATACATGAACAAACACTCTGCACTGCAGGACATGGTGAACGTGACTGATTTCACGTACTCTGATTTCCGTGACTCGGCATTTTCCGATCACGTAGCGTCACATAGCTGCTGTTTTTCAGTTCAGCACCTCTTAACAAAAAGGTTAATCAGATTTGTTTTGATTCAATTTGAGTCAGACTTTTATTTGGTGGCGTTAGGTTGACAGAGAGTTAGGCTGAGTCAGCATTTCCAGCATGGAGACCTCCATCGACGGGCTGCCAGCGGCCCCCTACAGGAACAGACATTACATTCTACAATGTGCCAGTTTGCATTAGCATTGTGAATGATCACCATGTTAGCATTGTTTAAATGACTGTGTTAGCATGCTAATGTTAGCATCAGGCTCAAA